TCCGGCTCCAGCTCCAGCAACACTCCCAGCGCCAGCAGCTCCAGTACCTCCAGTACGAGCACCTCCGGGACCAGCGGCACCAGAACCTCCAACGGCTCCAGCTCCAGCAGCACCACCAGCTCCAGCAGCTCCAGTACCTCCAGCACGAGCACCTCCGGGACCAGCGGCGCTAGCACCTCCAGCAGCACCACCAGCAGCACCAGCTCCAGCAGCACCTCCAGCACCAGCAGCACCTCCGGCTCCAGCAGTGCCACTCTGAATTCTCCAGCGCCGAGCAAACCACTCGCGCAGCTGCGGTGGAGAGAGTGTCTCCCGCCCTAACAAGACTCCCGGAGGACCTCCAGAAGACAAAGTACCTCCAGGCGCAGCACGCTCAGGCTCAGCACCCCCAGGCTCAGCACGCTCAGGCTCAGCACCCCCAGGCTCCGCACGCTCAGGCTCCAGTCAGCTTTTCCGTAGACTACGCATTACCACTAACAAGACGATAGATGCTACGTGTATTAGCTATTAACTAGGCAGCAAAATGTCACCTGGTCTCTACTAAGCACCACTAGCAAGGGGAGTCTGTAACAAGTTATGTCCTTCGCCCTGACGCATTCGCACGCCAGTCAGCTTTCTTAGGCCGTGTCCCAACAGTACGTCTACAGTTCTTTCTTCGTGGCTCAGGACGGCTCCACACGGTGGAAAGCAGTTATCTAGCTTCACCACTTTGTACCGCGACGCACCGAATTAGACCGCATAGAAGGAACAAGAGACGAACCCCCAGGCTCCGCACCCTCAGACTCAGCAACCCCAGGCTCAGCACCCCCAGGCTCCGCACCCCCAGGCTCAGCAACCCCAGGCTCAGCACCCCCAGGCTCCGCACGCTCACGCTCAGCACCCCCAGGTCCCGCACCCGTAGGCTTAGCACCCTCAAACGTAGTACCCCTAGCAGCACCAGAGTCGACAGCTACCTCGACAGGCTCGACAGGGTCTACTTGGGACACAACTGACGGAGCAGGACCCTAAGGGGGGAGGGGGTCTACCGGAGGAGGACCTGGTGCGAGGAAGAGCGGCGGGGGAGGGAGAGGGGCAGTGCGGTAGGGGAAGAGACGGTAAAAGGGAACCAACTCGTCAAACGTGACGTCCTTAGAGGGCAGGACACGGCGCGAGGTGGGGTGGTAAAACTGCCAGCCAGGCGCGTTAGGGGGGGAGCCAAGGAAGACACAGGGAACGGCGCGGGAGGAGAGCTTGTCCGCTGACGTATCGCGGACAAAGGCTCGACATCCCCAGACCCTGAACACCGACGCATCGCCAACCTCTCCCGTCCAACGCAGTGTCGGCGAGGTCTCCGGCAAGGAGAGACGGGGCCAGAGGTTGAGCTGATGCGCAGCGTAGCGGACCGCAAACGGCCACAGAAAATGGGGGGCAGCCGCATGGATCATGGAGGTACGAGCGACCTCCATGACTAAGCCAATGCGGCGCTCAGCAACCCCATTCTGCTGCGGAGAGGCCAGAAGCGTGAACGTCTGGCGAATGCCCTCCCCACGACAAAAGTCCCGCAAGAGGTCGAAGGAAAACTCACCACCTCTGTCAGAGTGCAGACGAAGGACGGGAAGGTCCGTAACGAACCGCTCGCGGAGCTGGAGACGGGCAGCGCGGATCCAAGGGATCAAAATATCAGGGACCTCCCCCTTGCGGCGCAAGGGGAAGACCGTGGTGTAACGTGTGTAGTCGTCGACAACCAGCAGAAAGTACCGCTCTTGGCCTTGTCCACGGATGAGGGCTGGGCCCCACACGTCCAGGTGGAGAGTCTGCAGGGGAGCAGTCGTCGGAGAGAGCGAGGAGGAGTGAGGAGCGGCGCGCTGCCGCCCCTCGACGCAGGGAAGGCAGGGAGGGGCAGGCGAGGGTGGGAGGGCAGAGACCTGGGAAGACTAGAGACAAGGAGACGGGAGTGCATGCCACGGAGGCGTGCTACGGAGGGGTGACCAAGGCGGTGGTGCCAGAGGAGCGTCTGGTGCGACAGGGCGCGACACGAGCAGAGGGCCGCTAGCTGACCTGACGCAGACGCAGACGCAGCTACCTGAGGAGGCGCAATAGTCAGTGTGTACAGACTTGACCCTGGCCGACGGGTGAACGTGGCCAGGTGCCTGCCAGTCCGGGAGCATGTACAGATCGCCACACGCTGTCCTCCAGAGGTGAAGGTGTCAACCCATTGATCCTGAAGGACAGCGGTGCTCACCAAGTTCGTAGAGAACGAGGGGAGGTGGAGACCTGACAGTGAGCCAGACGGAACCGCCGGACAAGGCAGATTGATGGAGGAACGTGCAAGGACTGGGCCCCCAGAGGGGTCAGCCAAAGAGACAGCAACAGGTGCAGAGAGCGGTGTGACTGTGGTACTGTCGCGAAAGAAACAGCGGGAAGCACCTGAGTCAAGCGTGAAGGTGTGCAGGGCCGCAGCAGACGCAGTACTAGAGAGAGCAGACTCACCAGTACCTAGAGCAGCAGACTCACTAGCACCTAAAGCAGCAGCCTCTATACCTGGGTCTGGCGGCATACATAGGTAACAGTCACCCTCAGCACTAGCAGACAATGCATACATGACAGAAAGGATATCATCATAATCAAGAGCAAAGATGTCTACACCCTGCTTGAGTAGGTCTGCCCAGCGTGGGAGCTCAGCCGCGTCGGGAAACTCTGTGCGGAAGGCGTCGGTAAGACGAGAGAAGCTGCGGTACTGGGTGTGGAGCCTCTCGCATGTCTGACCGATGCGGTCACCTGTGCGAATGACATACAGGCAGGGACCACTACCCCCAGCCGCCCCACGTTGAGCAAACCACTCACGTAGCTCCTAGGGCGAAAGCTGACACTGCTGCTGCTGCCTCTGACCGCCGCCAAGGCCTCCCCTCTGACTGGTACCACCTCGGCCGCCACCACTGCCACCGCCTCCACTCCCACTGCCGCCTCCACTGCCGCCGCCACTACCGCCACTGCCGCCACTACCGCCACTGCCGCCACCACCGCCGCCACCTACAGCTCCACCCCCACCGCCACTCTCTTTGCCACCACCGCCCCCTCCACCGCCTCCACCGCCTCCACCGCCGCCTCCACCACTGCCGCCCCCACCGCTCCTGCCTCCCCTGCCCCTTCCGCTGCGACGCCTCCCACTAGGGGCAGATGCAGCTCCTACCTCCTCAGTACGAAGGTAGTCAACAGCTGCAGCAGAGGCGACTGAGGGGAGAAGGGGGGAGGGCGAACACCCCTCAAAGAAGGGAGTGCGAGGAGTGCCACGAGAAGCGCCTACAACGACTATGCTAGTCTCAGCTGCAAGGAGGTGCTTCTCGAGCAGGTCGACAGTGAGGTCTGTGGGGTCAAGGGCGAGAAGGAGGTCCCTGACAGTGCTAAGAGAGTCAGGGAGACGGGTGACTATGAAGTAGAGAGTGATGTACATGGGAGGAGGGTTCTTGGCGAGAAACTCGGCGGGAAGTGCAGCGCGGTAGCGAGTGTCACCGCTAAGAGAGTCAGGGAGACGGGTGACCATGAAGTAGAGAGTGATGTACATGGGAGGAGGGTTCTTGGCGAGAAACTCGGCGGGAAGTGCAGCGCGGTAGTGAGTGTCACTAGTACGAAGGTGAGTGACGAGGTCGGCAACTGTGGCAAAGTCGGACAGCTCTGGGAACAGGTACGGCAGGAGAAGGCGGCCTAGAGCAGCAGTGGCCGGGGAGGAGTAACGAGCGACTACATCGTCGTACAGTGCTTTCGCATTTTTATGCTGGGAGAAGTGAGCGCGTTCGGCTAACGGCAGGTGGTTGCGAACGGCTATGCGAGCAGCTGCATCACGAGTAAGCCACTGTGAGCGAGTCGTACTGTCAGCTGTGGTGGCAGGGGCAAGAGAGGCACCAGACGTGAGGTCAAACAGCGAAATACCATCTTTAGAGTCGGTCAGCAGGTACAGCTGTAAGTCGTCTAGCCACGCATTGAACTCTATCGGGCGGCCCTCCGAATCGAAGGTGAGAACGTTCAGAGTGGCCATAGCGGGCAGAGCTGTCGGGCGCGCAAGCAGCAGAGCAGCACGCAGGCAGGGCTAGGCAGGTGAGCGCGCTAGCAGCAGTGCAGCAGGAAGCGGCGCACGGCAGGGCAGGGCGCGCGGTAGGGCAGGGCGCTCGGCAGGGTAGGGTGCGCGGCAAGGCAGGGCGCGCGGCAGAGCAGGGCGTGGCGCTCAGGCAGGGCGCGCAGTATGGCAGGGCGCGCAGGAGGGCAGGGCGCGCAGCAGGGCAAGGCGCGCGGCGGCGCGACTTGCGGGCAGGGCAGGGCGCGCGGCAGTGTGGCGCGCGGGCAGGGCAGGGCGCGCGGCAGTGTGGCGCGCGGGCAGGGCAGGGCGTGCGACGCTGCGCGCGGGCAGGGCAGGGCGCGCGGCGCGGGCGGCGCGCGGGCAGGACAGCGCGCGCTGCGGCGGCGCGATGCGCACGCAGAGCGGCGCGCGCGGCGCGGGCCGCGCGCGAGGAGGGCGACGTGGCGGCGTAGCGTGCAGGCAGGGCGTGCGCGGCGTCGCACGGGCAGGGCAGGGCGCACTGCAGCGGGCGGCGCGCGGGCAAGGCAGTGCGCGCTGCGGCGGGCGGCGCGCGGGTAGGGCAGAGCGTGCGCAGGCAGCGCGACGCAGGGCAGGGTAGGGCAGGGCGACGCGATCACAATGGCGCGACGGGTGGGGTAGCGCTACTCGGTGGGCCCTAAGAAACCGGTCCTAGACTAGGACCTGCTCTGAAACCATGTCAGAAGTAACGAACGAGAATGAAATGACTAACAGCAGGATGGGTACAAGTGCTAACCCTAATTGGGTTGTACCCCATATGGGCTACCCCACTATAGCGTACACAATTAACAACATATAAGTTTGACAGGGCCACTGATAGATCAGTGTGCCCTATATCCTATCTAAGGGCTTGCATCCACCAGCAACCCAACCTTCCATCACTCCACCCATCAAGCTGCCTGCTTGCTGCGCTTTCTGCCACCAGCACCATTCATACCCTTCCTCCAAGCTTCCCGTGCTGCCCTTCCAGGACCCCTCCCTGCGGCACTGCTGCCAGCCGCCACATCCTTGCTTTCTCCACGCTTTCCTGGTGTGGGCTGGGGTCTTCCAGTTGCTGCAACCCTTGTTGCCTCTGCTGGAGCTTCCTCCGCTTCTGTTGTGTCACCGCCTGCTACAGTCACGTCTGTGGGAAACAGCAAGGGAGGGGAGCAGGGAAACAGCGGTGGGAGAAGGGCAAAACGGACAGTAGAGATGCCGGGAGGGTATAAGGGGGGGAAGGATGAGGAATTTGAGGGTAGTGAGGGGGGGTGCAGGGAAAAGAGGGGGTAGATCCAACGGTAGGGACAAGTTCCAGTGGCGCCGGAACAAACGTTTTAACTTGAAAGCTAGTAGCTCATGTTGCCATCTCTATCGTAATTAACAGCAAGGGGAAGCGGGAGGGGATCAAGGAGGAATGACACTTGAAGGACTGGGACCCGCAAGCGAGCATTCCACAAACCGGAAAAAGAATACACATGACATGGCATGAAAAAGAATAACAACAAATTCGTTATTTCTGTGCTTTAAAGTGGGAAGCTCTTTACTGTTCAGCAGCCCAGATGCTCATCAGAACAACCAACCTGCTTTCTCTCCTGATGCAGCAGGCCCTGTGGTTGTCCCTTCTGGCAAGAAGGGAAGTTAGGTGGCTGTTTAAGAAACACCTGTGAGAGGGCAACGAAAGCACAGAAACAGACATGACTTTTGTGTTGAATACTACACTAAAATGCTTAAGAGAGAAGCACGAGAACCTATGTCTAGTTTAAAATCACCTGGAGGGGCAGCTGAGACACGCACAGAGAAGAGAGGCAGGAAGGAGAGACAGGCAACAACAAGAAGCAGACTAACGTTTCAGAAATAATCAAAGAGCCAGCGTCGACTTACGTCTGCAGCGGGTGTGCAATCAACAGCACGGCAATCAGAATGCATATGCAGCGATGCGTCTTGGTTAACCAGGTATCTACCACAGTTCGGCCCTGCTAGTAAAGGCCACAACCACAACCAAAATCTCACAAGAGTACCTCCGCAAATAGTACATACAGGGTGCCTCGTGAGTGACTTACAAGCAGCCCCGCCAGTAGTAAGCTGGACGCACGCACCTTGGCGACTAGGTGTTGAGTGTGTAGGTGGTGAATGCGCAGGTAACAGTCCGGTCCTGGTGGTGGGGTAGGTGGGGGGAGGTGGGGGGAATGTGATGAAAAGATAAGAGTCGGACAGAAGAGAGTGGAGGGGTGGGGGGTAACAGGTAACAGTCCGGTCCTGGTGGTGGGGTAGGTGGGGGGAGGTGGGGGGAATGTGCTATGGCTAACATAGCACATAAATAGCATATGCTAACTACTTTTTTTTCCCTCGTCATTTAGGGGAGGGCACAGGCAGAGTGCTGTGATTGTCGTAGCATGCAGCCAGACATATGAACTGATAGGGATGGGGAGTATGTGTACTGTGAGCAGTGCACACAGCACACATACATACCAGAAACGCCACAAAAAACAGTAACATACCATACGATGCTGTAAGACATGGCACAAGCAGTAGAAATTAACATACCGCAAGAGGCCACGTGGGGCAGCAAGTGGTGCATGGTGAGTAAGCGAATGTAACCCAGACACGCGCCCTCGAACACACCAGCAACGCGACCTGCACCGTGCATGTGGTGTGTGCAGAGGGAGAAGAATGGAAGAATGGAGGAGGGGATGGGAGACAAGGGGAGGGGAGAGGAGGGAGCGGGAGGGGAAGGGAGGGGATGAGATGGAATGGAAGGGGACAGGAGGAGAGGGGAGGAGAGGGAGGGGAGGAGAAGGGAGGGAAGGGAGGGGAAATGAGGGGAGTGGAAGCAATGAACCCCGAATCACCAACCAATGAGAGTGCACAAGTGAGAATTCTGAATGGGGCAAAAGTCACTGATGCGTTCTACTGCCTGCCACGCCACCCAATGAGAGTGCAGATGGGAGAAAGCAGGCTAATACGGTAGCAGTGTTACTGCCAACCAATAAGTGTGCAGGCTGTAGCAGCAACTCAATGTGGTGCGGATGCTTGTTTGTTGTTTTGTTTTTGCTTCGTGTTTTGTTCAAAGGAAAACGAGCATCGGCGGGTGCAGTACAAGTGAGAGACTTATCCTCCACTACAACATCCACTTTCACACTTCAACAACCTCACATGTGGCATTATTGCTGCTTGCGCTTCCACTAACCACACTGATATGATAGTACTTGATACAACCATACCTACTGAAACCTGGTGGTTCCTGGTAGCACCTCACCTCGTAACAATGCATCCCAGTCACAGCCACTCACAGTGTGTCAGATGCACCAGCTTTATCTCCCCCATGCCCATTCCAAGCATCACGCATTGCATTGCACTCCCCACGGCTGCTACAGACAGCAGCGGGCGAGCTAATAGGTAGGAGCCCAGCGACACAACCCTGAGGGGCCGTGGCTGCAGCAGCAGGTCAAAGAGACGCAGCGGGTCATCCACACAGGCTGCTACTGCTTCGTGCATCCACTGCCTTACCTGCCTGCTGGGTAAAGTGTGTTGTACCTGGGCACCTGGTAGCACCTGGTTGCACAGCATCCCACCGCGGCCACTGACTCACCATGTGTCAGATCGACCATCTCCCCCATGCCCGTCCCAACCGTTACCGCACTACACTCCTCCCCACCACCCTTGTTCCAGACAGCAGCACGAGAGAGAATTGGCACAGAGCCTAGAGAAAAGTATTTCAGCGGACAAGGCTGCCGCAGCAGGTCGAAGAGGCGCAGCGGGATGTCCAGACAGGTGGTCACGCGGCGTGCCGGGTGGCATGCGCTGACGTGGCACACCGCTGTCACGTGCTTCGGCACCACCACAACGTATGGGCTTGGGAGGGGCTGGGGAGGGTTTTGGGTACCAATGGGTTTGGGAAAAGAATGGGGGAAAGATTGTCCAGAAAATTAAGGGAGGCAGGGGGTGCTACGGTGGCACCACGTTGTACATGCTAGTGGTTAGGGGGTAGTTCTTGAGGGAGGGAGTAGGGGAGGAGGTGGGATGGGCTGGTTTTGGGAAGGGGGATGAGTATGCAGAGGATTGAGGGAGAGAAGGGCCGCCACACCGTATGGGAACGCGAGCCGCCAGCGATAAGCAAGGGGGTGGGGGGATTTGGGAAGAGAAGCGGGGGGTAGTGTGTAGAGAATCGAGGGAAGAGAGGCGGAAGGTGTGACTTTATAAAAAAAGGAGACAGGGCAGTGCAAGGAAGGGAGAAGAAATCAAAGTAGCGAGAGGCACGCTGAACAAAGAAAGAAGGGAGACAGCAAGAGGCAAGTGCACCCACCCCACCAGCTTGGCCTCCCCTTTGAGTGTACTCATCTCGAGATCCGATTCTTTCCTGCAGTGCGGTGATTTCCAGTCGGGCACGTTATTGATGGCAACATGTGACGGGGTAGGGAGGAACGAAGACGAGGGGTTAGGGTGGAGAGAAGGAAGGGAAATACGATAATGGAAACAACAAGAAGGGGAGAAACGCTGAGGGGAAGCAAGGAGGTGGGAAGGGAGCAAAGGACGAGGAACGCATAGAAAGCGTGAGGGAAATCAGAGGAGGTGGGAAGGAAGGAGGGAGATGAGCATAAGGGAGGAGAGGCAAGCACTGTATCTGCCAACAGCAACAGCGGCTGCGCTTCACTCCTCGTTTGCTGTACACTGGGATGGGGTCCACAGCAGCATGCAGCAGCCGAGGAGGAGTGAAGAGGAACAGGCAAGTAAGAGAGGCGGAAGGAGGACGCAAGGGGAATAGGAAGAAAGGGGAAGGAGGAGAGGAGGGGAGAGCACTGACTGACCCACAAATCCAGACTTGACTTTTCTTATTTATCACCACACTTCCACCTCGGCCTCAAAGATCACGGTGTTGTTAACGAGGAAGCCTTTAGAGAGGTCATTAAAGTCCATAAGTGGCAGTATCTTGGACCAGCCCCACTCACATCTGTGAGCACTGAACAGGCAACTGCTCGTTTGGAAAAGCAGAGAGAGGGAACTTCACGAGAATTAAACGCGTGAAAGTGAAAAGTCATGAACTGCAGGTTGTCAAGAGAACTGAACTCAATCCACAAAAACCCACCCAAGACCAGCAAGCAGCAAGCAGGTCAACCTATGTTGCTTACGTATCCCGCACCATGACCTAGCACAATCCAGCTGCGAGCTACATCCCATGACCTTATACCCTACTTTATTCCCCATGACAACCCACTCATTTCAACCCCCTCATCCCATTCATAACCCACTCATTTCAACCCCCTCATCCCATTCATTTCAACCCACTCATTTCAACCCCCTCATCCCTTGCATGCTCGTGTGCTGCTCACCCATACCTCTCCGCACTGACTTCGTCCGGTCAAACGGTTGACCACAGTCAACACATAGTCCATGCGCTTGGTCCAACCGGGCGGCAGAGTTGCGACACTTGACAAGTCCTCTGACTTGGGGTACACCATCAGCTGCCGTATCAAGCTGTCTGTTTGCTGAGCTTGCTACTACCAGCACCACTCGCACCCTTGTTTCAAGCCATTTCAGACTCCCTCCCTGTCACACTGCTGCCAGCTGCCGTAGCCTTTCTTTCCTCTCCCTCCCTGCGCTGGTGTGGGTTTGGACCTTCCTTTTGCTGCTGCCGCTGCTGCCTCTGTTGTATCACTGCCTGTTATAGGCACATCTGTGCACTTGTGCTTGGACCCTGGAGGTAGACAGGGGAGAGGCCAGAGGAGGGGGAAATGAGGGGTGTGTGGTCAACAGCACGGAAGAGGAGCAAAGAAACAGTGGCGGGAGGGGCAAAACGGACAGTAGAGATGCTGGGGGGTAAGCAGGGAAGGATGAGGAGAAATTGAGGGCAGCGAAGGGGGGAGGAGCACCCATACCCACAAACTGAAAAAATCAAATAAAAATTGACATGGCCATATTACAAGGAACAAAAATGAACTATTTCGGTGCTTTGAAGTGGGAAGCTCCTTGCTGTTCAGCAGGCAACGGCAAGAAGACTAACATTTGGAGAGAGTCAAAGAGCCAGCGTCGACCAGAACACATACAGTAGAGCATCATGGTTATCCATATACTTAACAGGCTTCAGCCCTGCTAGTAAGGGCCACAACCACAACCCAACTCTCACACTGACACCTCTTCCGCCAATAGTACATACAGGGTGCCTCGTGAGTGACTTACAAGCAGCCCCACCAGTAGTAAGCTGGACGCACCTTGGCCACTAGGCGGCGAGTGTGCAGGTGATGAATGCACAGGTAACGGTGCAGTCCTGGAGGTGTGGTATGAGGGGAGGGGGTCGGGAACGTGATGAAAAGGTAATATTCAGGCAGAAGAGAGTGGAGGGGTAGTGGAGGAAGAACGGGGATGGGGGTTAGCCAAGTGTGCGTGCAGGTGGTGAATGAGCAGGTAACGGTCAAGACATGTACAGATAGTGGTTGTGCAGATAGCAGTGGAGGGTGGGAGGAGTGAGGGAGGCATAGGGTTTGGGGTTCGGGAAAAAGGCAAGTGATGAGCGGGGTGAGCGGGGTTAGCAGGCCAAACCTGGTGGAATGAGAGTGGTGAGGAGGGGCAGGGAGCAGGGAAGTAGCAGGCGCCAACAAACCTAGGAGAGGAACTTTTAGAAAAAACATTCAAACACATTATAATCTTCAAGTATACAAATTACGTAAGGTCACAATATTCCACAGAACTCATAGGGACAATCGACATATTCTGCCGGATTTGTCTCTTGAATGAGAAGGAACAAGAAAGTGGTCATTTCGGATTACTGTCCACATTCTCGAAAACACCATAGAAAACAAGATGCTCGTTTCCTAGCTTATGCTTTATGTGGGTCATTATACGAAGTTCAAGTGTATATATTCGGTCATTATACGAAGTTCAAGTGTGTATATTCGCGTATGGTCAAGCTGATTCCGGAAAAACACACACGATGTTCGGAAATGTCACACAAGAATGCTTCGAAGTTATTTACAGATCCATCAAGCATCAAGCATATCTGAGCACAGCTGCAGAATTTCAAGATTTAAGCCAGTTTGCCTCTACGCAAATTGGCTCAGATCCTCGTTGAACCTTAAAGTATGCTTGATGAATATGCGGAAAGTTCAAGAAACATTCGTGTATGGGATTTCCGAACATAGTGAATGTCTTCCCGGAAATAGATTAGCCATCCGCGAACATGCAAGCTTGAACGGTATATAATGTTGACCTAACGCGTAATCTAATTATATAACACAGAATTTTTTTAGAGGAGAGGGACGGGAGAAGGGAGCGAAGGGAGGGGAAATGAGGGGAAATGAGGGGGAGTGGAAGCAATGAACTACGAATCGCCAATCAATGTGCAAAAGTGAGAATTACAAGTTGGGCAAAAGTCACTACTGTGTGCTACTCCCTGCTAGGGATGAGCATGAGGGCGGGCTAGGGCCCGCCCGGGTCGGGCCCGCCCGGAAATGCCCCGGGCCGGGCATCATAATTTCGACGTGGGCCCGGAGCGGGCCGGGCCGGGCCGGCCCGGCGGGCCGCAGCCGCCCGATTTTGGCCCGCCCATGTACGGGCCGGGCCGGGCCGGGCCGCATCGAAGCGCAAAAATACAACAGAACAGCCCAAAAATACAGAAATTATAACAGCACCCGGGCCGGGCCAGCCCGGCCCGGGTCGGGCCATGCAGAGCCCGGGTCGGGCCAGGCACGGCCCGCCCGCCTTAAGGGCGGGCTCGGGGCAAGAGTTTCCTTCTACGGCCCGGGTCGGGCCGGGCCGGCCCGGCCCGCTTTTTTGCGCAGCCCGGGGTGGGCCCGACCCGGGCCGGGCCCGGCCCGCCCGGTGCTCAACCCTACTCCCTGCCAACTAATGAGAGTGCAAACGGGAGAAGCAGGTTAATGCAGTGGCAGTGCTATCGCCAACCAATAAGCGTGCAAGCTGTAGCAGCAACTCAATGTGGTGCGGATGCTTGTCTTTTTTTATTTTATTTTTTTGCTTTGTTTTTCGTTTTCGAAGGGCACCAAGCAGCGACGGGTGCGTACAAGTGAGAATGAATCCTCCACCACAACATCCTCTTTCACACTTCAACAACCTCACGTGTGGCCTTATTGCAGCTTGTACTTCCATTATCCACACCTGATATGATAGTACTTCAGACACATACACTGCCATACCTAGTGGAACCCGGTGGTATCTGGTAGCAGCTGCTCACAATGCATCAGATGCACCAGCTTCATCTCCCCGATGCCCGTTCCAGTCGTCGCCGCACTGCACTCCTCACCAACCCCACGGCTGCTCCAGACAGCAGCGGGCGAGCTAATAGGTAGGAGCCCAGCGAGACAACCCTGAGGGGCCATGGCTGCAGCAGCAGGTCAAAGAGAGACAGCGAGTTGTCCACACAGGCCGTTACTGCTTCGTGCATCCGCTGCCTTACCTGCCTGCCGGGTAAAGTGTGTTGTACCTGGTAGCACCTGGTGTGTCACCACAAGCACTGACTCACCGTGTGTCAGATAGACCAGCTTGATCTCCCCCATGCCTGTCCCGACCATCACTACACTCCTCCCCACCACCCTTGTTTCAGACAGCAGCAAGCGAGCGAATCAGCACGGAGCAAGTTGCCCAGACAGGCGGTGACGAGGCGTACCGGGTGGCATGCACTGACGTGGCACACTGTTGTCACGTCAGCACACTGTACGGGCTTTGGAGGGGATGGGGAGGGATTTGAGTAGTCGGGTTTGGGAAAAGAAGGGGGGAAAGATAGTACAGAGAATTAGGGGAGGCAGGGGTGCATCGGTGGCACCACGTTGTACAGGCTAGTGGTTGGGAGGCAGCTCGTGAGGGAGGAGGTGGGATGGGCTGGTTTCGGGAAGGAAGATGAGTATGCAGAGGATTGAGGGAGAGAAGGGACGCCGCCACACCGTATGGGAACAGGAGCCGCCAGCGATAGGCAGGGGGGTGGGGGGGTTTGGGAAGAGAAAGGTCGGATAGAGAATCGAGGGAAGGGAAGAGAAAAGGAAGGTCTGACTTTGAAAAAAAGAAGGGGCAGTGCAAGGAAGGGAAGAAGGAACCAAAAGCGGCTAGAGTCACTTTGAAAAAAGATAAAAGGGGCAGTGCAAGGTCACAGAGGGAGACAGAGAGAGGCAAGTGCACCCACCAGCTTGGCCTCCCATCTGAGTGTACTGTGTACCCGTCTCGGACGTCCCACACTGTCGGATCCGAGTTTTGTGGTAATTCCCAGTCGGGCACGTTACTGATGGCAGTATGAAAAGCAGCAAGCTAATCAACCTATGTTTCTTATGCATCCATGACCACGACCTAAACAATCGAGCTGCAAGCTCCCGTTTTTGTTCCCCACGACTGATCTCAACCCCCTTATCCTTTTCATGCCCGAGTGCTGCTCACCCCAACTCTCCGCACTGAATTTCTCCGGTCAAATTGGTTGGTCAAATTGTCCACACATAGAGCATGCACTTGGTCCAACCACGCTGCTGTGTTGCAGCATTTGCCATGCCAAGGAACAACAACACGTTTGTGTACACCATCAGCTGCGAAAATTTAACACGATAAGGAGGGTAATGATAGATAACGAAACAAATTAACGTATGTTGTTGATGGAGGTTACGAGGTCTGGGAGGAGTAGAGGAAGGAATAGATGCCCTATTGAATAGTGAGTGGAATAGAAGCTGACGCCCCTGGCGAAGGCGGAAGAGAGCAGGGAGGAAGGGGAAAGAGGAACGAAGAGGCAGACAAGGTGAAAACGGGAATCTCGCGCACATAATGACGTTGGACAGAGGGAAAGTCTCAAAACAAATCCCCACGTGAAGAAACAATCAATAGGACCTACATGCGGAGGAAGGAAAGGAACGGGATGGCGGGGAAACATCGCGAGTTTTAGAAGGTTGTGCCAAGAAGTCGGGCGTAAGGATGACCATGTAAAGAAGGTACAACGCGCAGGTAGCCTACTGTATCTGTAACACCTCTCAGAAAGCAATGCGCACACATACACTTCCAGTTCAAGAGCCTGAGCAGCGACCAACAGCAGCTGTACCCCCCAACCAGGAAGGTGTTGGAGTGGACTCTCCGCTCTGTCAGCTTGGAGAAGCCGTTGATTTGCCATCGGAACGTCACCAACAGAGAATCGGCTGCAGCAGATGCCGTTCAACAGGGCAAGAACGGTGGTGGAGGGAGAGAGGGACGCATAAGAGTAGGTGGGTGCGGTTTAAGTGCTGCTACTCGATACTGATGGGGCCAGCACGAGCCAGACATGAGACAAAGTCGACTGTTGTGAGGTTACATGGAAAGAGGCGGTTTTTGGATATATTCAATAACCTCCTGCACGAACAAGCAAGAAACAATATTTAGTTATCAAGTCTGGTTGCACCCAGCGTGCCTACCTTCCATAGCGCCCGCGGCTCCAGAGCTTGCAGAATTTCAGCTCTTTCACAGCAGTCACTGGTGAGCCAAAACGTGCACACTACGATATGTGCTTCCGTTTCCGCCTCTTTCAAATCGAATGAGCTTTGCGCGCTGAGGAGGAAACTGGAATGTACAAAAAACGATTCGAAATCGATGCAATGATGCTAGAAAACTGGGAGAGGCGAGCGTGAAGCATTCGTCGTAGGAAGAAGAAAAGAACCCCTCTGTGAAAACCTACTACGATGAAGTAAGACTCTTTCGCGCCATGCGTGCGTGAAGCACAGGGGATGAGATCGAACGCGCGCCATTCAACTAAACGAGCGACAACCACGGTACTATTGTAACGAGACAGTTGTCGGAATATGCATGCTTCTGGATTGCTCAAGCCCATGCATGGTGAATAGGATCGCGTTTGCGGCTCCACCGTGATGTCTACACTCGAGTCGCTCAACGCACCGTATCGCAAATTTATTCCCTAACTTTTCTTATTAACTCGTGGTACCCAGTCCCAGGGGAGTCTGGGACCAACGTGACGTGACGTGACTGCAGCTGCATGCGAAAGTGCCGCCAACTCGAGGCATTGGGTGTGCATGGTGTATGGTGCATCGCAGCAACGCTCGCTTCATCCGACAATTGTAAGGAGAGGGACTGATCTTATGAGGAGCATCCAGGTAATGCAGCTCAGAAGGAACAGGGCATGGCCCTAACGGTGCAGCGGGACTTGCGGGTGACGCGACGCGTGAGTCACAGATCTTCATGCGGTATGGAATGGGCTTGATAAACCATTTACAGCAATTGAGAAGGGAAAGCATAGAATGGTAACGAAGATGATGGGGCTTATAAATGCGTACTGTCATTGGTACAGTGTTTTCTAGGTTCTAAGTTCGATAACTAGGTTCAACACTGGTAACTTGCTGAAGCCCTCACACAAAATGACCTTGATTTTGAAGTTTACCCTCCCGCACCAATTTAACCAACGAATCCTGGTGCACCACGTTCTGCCCACTTTCGCCTGTTATGTATTCCGTAAACGTTTCAAAAATCAAATCTTATTGCCAAGATCTTGAGCATCTTCATTTGGTTTAGATTTAATCAAACTGGAACGGGGTCTTTTATCTGGGAGATTACAGTACCTTCCTTCACCCCACCCGTCAAGCTGCCTGCTTGCTGCGCTTGCTACCACCAGCACCGTTCATCACCTTCCTCCCAGCCTCGCTGGGTGCCCTTCCAAACCCCCTGCCTGGTGCACTGCTGCGAGTCGCCACAGCCTTACTCTCCCCACCCTGTGCTGGTGCGGACTGGGATCTTCCCGTTGCTGCTGCCCTTGCTGCCTCTGCTGGTGCTTCCACTGCTACTTCTGTATCTCCGCCCGCTATAGTCACATCTGTGAGCTTGCGCTTGGAGACTGTGGACCCTGTAGAGATGCAAGTAAAAAGGGGTCAATGGGGAAGATGCATGGGAGGACTTGAGCAGATGACTGAAAATACACACAACAGAAGCCACGGCTCTGCTTATGCTGGGAGATACTTGGGCATAGAATGCATGCCCACTGGACACCCACAGAAAGACTACATACCCATGCACAAAAACACACTCACACAAGAAACACGCATGCAACAGTCTCATATGCTGCTTCAACAGGCCGAACCACCCTTGCCTCACCTAAACTCACAACCTGCTCCCTCACCTGAACGCACCACCTGCTTCCTCACCTGAACGCACCACCTGCTTCCTCACCTGAACGCACCACCTGCTTCCTCACCTGAACGCACCACCTGCTTCCTCACCTGAACGCACCACCTGCTTCCTCACCTGATGCAACTGCCCCAGTGGCCGCCCCTTCTGGCAGGAAGCAAAGGAAGTTGAGTGGCTGCTTCAGAAACACCTGTGAGGAGGTGATGGAAACACACAAGGAGAGGAGAGGCAAAGAAGAGACAGCAAACAGGAATCAGGAAATTCAGTGCTTAAGGGAAACAACGAGCAGGGCTAAGTTTGCTTTGCCACAGGGGCGCGACGCGACACGGTCATGGCGTGACACGGTCATGGCGTGACACGGTCATGGCGGTCCAGATGGCCACGAGGATTCAGCCATGCCACATCTACACCCGAACCAAATCCTTCTGAGTCAAGCCAAAAGAGGCCCACGGGGATTCAGACTTAACGCATAGGCATCCCAACTGAACCCTCCAGCACAGCACTCTTACCTTGGCAACAAGGCGGCGAGAGTGTAGGTGGTGTATGCGTAGGTAGCGGTCAAGGCCTGGTGGCAGGGTGGGGAATGGGGGGACGACAGGAGAGGAGAGAGGCAGGAAGAGTGGGGGTGGTGAAGGGCGAGATTGGGAGTAAGGCGAGAGTGCAGGTGGTGTATGCGCAAGTAGCGGCCCAGTCCTGGTGGCGGGGTGGACGAGTGGAGAGAAGCGAGCCAGAGGGGTGGTGGAGGGGAGTGGGGTTGGGGATTATGTAGTTGCAGGTGGTGTATGCAGAGGAAATGGTCGAGGCCTGGTGGCAGCGTGGGGCGAGAGAGGCAGGCAGGTCGCAGACAGATAGGTTGTGGGGAAGTGGAATACTGTGAGAGTCACAGGTGGTGCGCATCTGCACAGATGGAGGATGCGCAGATAGCGGTCCAAGCCTGGTGGACGGTTGGTGGCGTTGAAAAGAGAGCGGCAGGCAGGCAGCAGAGAGTTGGAATGGCGGAGGGGGTCGGGTCGGGGTTGGGGATCGAATTAGCGGGGTCAGGGATTTCCAAACAATAATTGAACTCCTTATGTTCTTCCTGCATACTGATCAAGCAAGCTCACAATATTCTACAGAGTTTGTAGGCAGAGCACACAGAATGCACAAGGCAAAGGTGTGGCATAACACAGCACACATACCACAGGAGGCCACGAGGGGAAGTGATGGGTGCATGGCGAGGGAACGAATGGAGCCCGCACACTCGCCCTTGAACGGGTGAGTGCACACATGGCGCACAAGTGGCAATAACATACCGCATGAGGCTACAAGGGGCAGCGATGGGTGCATGGCGAGGGAACGAATGGAGCCCGCACACTCGCCCTTGAACGGGTGAGTGCACACATGGCGCACAAGTGGCAATAACATACCGCATGAGGCTACAAGAGGCAGCGATGGGTGCATGGTGAGGGAACGAATGGAGCCCGCACACTCGCCCTTGAACGGGTGAGTGCACACATGGCGCACAAGTGGCAATAACATACCGCATGAGGCTACAAGAGGCAGCGATGGGTGCATGGTGAGGGAACGAATGGAGCCCGCACACTCGCCCTTGAACGGGTGAGTGCACACATGGCGCACAAGTGGCAATAACATACCGCATGAGGCTACAAGAGGCAGCGATGGGTGCATGGTGAGGGAACGAATGGAGCCCGCACACTCGCCCTTGAACGGGTGAGTGCACACATGGCGCACAAGTGGCAATAACATACCGCATGAGGCTACAAGAGGCAGCGATGGGTGCATGGTGAGGGAACGAATGGAGCCCGCACACTCGCCCTTGAACGGGTGAGTGCACACATGGCGCACAAGTGGCAATAACATACCGCATGAGGCTACAAGAGGCAGCGATGGGTGCATGGTGAGGGAACGAATGGAGCCCGCACACTCGCCCTTGAACGGGTGAGTGCACACACGGCGCACAAGTGGCAATAACATACCGCATGAGGCTACAAGAGGCAGCGATGGGTGCATGGTGAGGGAACGAATGGAGCCCGCACACTCGCCCTTAAACGCTCCAGCGATGCGACCTGTGGCACGCATGTGGTGTGCGCAAGAGGAGCAGGGGAAGGGAGTCGCGGCGTGGACGGGAGGCAAGGCCAGGGGAGAGGACAGGAGGGGAAGGGATGGGAGGGGAAGGTAAGGGAGGGGAAAGGCGGGTAGGGGAGGGGAGAGGAGGAAAGGAAAGGGGAGGGGGAAGGTGGGGGAGGGGGGTAGGTGCGGGAATGGGAGGGGAGAGGAGGGGAGGGGAGGGAAGAGGAGGGGAGGGTTTTATATCGAGCCAAAGTCCACCGAGGCGTCCTTCTGAATTGAGCTGTTGAATCCAAACCGATGCGAGTGCAGTGCAGACAGAGGAAGCAGGTCAGTGCGGCGCCAGTGCTGCTGCCAACCAATCAGAGCGCAGGGTGCTGCAGCAGGTCACGGTGGTGACAGTGCATGGTTTGATTGGATAGAGAAAGACGAGCAGCGACAGGTGCAGTACAAACTCGACTCGCCCATTGTCTATGCCTAGCGACAGGTGCAGGACAAGTGAGAGTCATCAATTCTCCACCGCAACACTCTCTTTCACGCGTGCATCATGTGACGGCACCTGGTAGCACCGCATCCCACCACAGCCACTCGCTCACCGTGTGTCAGATCCACCAGCTTCATCTCCCCCATGCCCGTTCCGACTGTCACCGCACTGCACCCCTCCCCACCACCCTTGCTCCACACAGCAGCAAGTGAGCGGATGGGCACGGTGCCCAGAGAGACGACTTTCAAGGGGCGCGGCTGCAAAAGAAGGTCGAAGATTCGCAACGAGTTGTCCTGGCAGGCGGTGACGAGGCGTGCCGGGTGGCATGCGCTGACGTGGCACACCGCTGTCACGTGCTTCGGCGCCACCACACCGTATGGGCTCGGGAGAGGCTGGGGGGGGTAGGTTGTGCAGAGGGGGGGTTGTGCAGCAGGGTGGGGAGTGCGGGGATGCGAGCAGATGATTGAGAGAGGAGAGCAGGGAGGCTTAGGTGCTTCGGCACCACCACACCATATGGGCTCGGGAGTGGCTGGTGGAGGGGTTGTGCAGAGGGGAGGGGAGGGGGTGGGGGAGGGAGGGCAGAGTACTGAGGGAGGAGAGCAGAGAATCCTGGGTGCTTCGGCGCCACCACCCCGTACGGGCTCGGGAGGGGCTGGGGGGGGTTGAGCGACAAGGGGTTATTGGGGATGAGGGAGGAGAAAAAGGAGGAGGCTCGGATGCTTTGGCTTCTGAGGCTCCTCAAAAGTGCTTTGGCTCCACTCCACCACATCGTCCGCAGAAAAATGAGGGGCAAGGGGGGGGAGACAGAGCAATGAAACGGGAGAAGGGGCAGTGCAAGGAAAGGAGAAGGAATGAAAGCAGGGAAACGGAGGGAGGCAGCGAAAGGCAAGTGCATGCACCCACCAGCTTGGGCATATGAGGGGAAGAGGGGCGATGCACTGGGAGCACAGTAGTGAAATCGGACAAGGGAAGAGGCAGCACGAGGAAAGTGCACTCACCAGTTTAGCCTCCCATTTGAGTGTGCCTGTTTGGAGTTCCCACACTGTCAGATCCGCCTCTTTCCTGCAGTGCAGCAAGGGGTTAAGGAGAGAGAGAGGAAGTGATAAGGGTTTAAGTGGGAACGAGGCGGAAAGGAAAGAGCATATGAGAAGTGGGAAATAAGCAGTGAGAAGGAGGAAAGTTTGAACTAGGGAAAGGAAGGCAAGACCGGGAGAAAGAGTAGAGAAATGGGGCGTAAGGGAGAGGACAGAGGAGAGGGGACGGCAAGAAGGGAGAGCACTGACCCGCCAACGGCAATGGTGGCTCCGGTGGGGTCCACAGCAGCACACAGCAGACGAGGGAGTGAGGAGAGATAATGGGAGGGGAAGGGGAAGGAGGAGGCGAGAGCACTGACCCGCCAACGGCAATGGTGGCTCCGGTGGGGTCCACAGCAGCACACAGCAGACGAGGGAGTGACGAGAGATAATGCGAGGGGAAGGGGAAGGAGGAGGCGAGAGCACTGACCCGCCAACGGCAATGGTGGCTCCGGTGGGGTCCACAGCAGCACACAGCAGACGAGGCCTCTCTGCTCCCCCTGCTGTCGCACCCGCCGTAGCTGTACCATTAGCAGAAGCAGCAGCTGCAGCGGCATCACCATTGCTGCCTGGGCCCCCTCCCGCCCCTGAATCGCCACCCGAGTCACTCTCACCGCCGCCCTGCCTCTTCCTTTTCTTTTTCGACGGCTTGCGCGGTGCAATCGCCACAAACCGCCGCACCAGCCGCTGCTCTGCTGCCCACTCCGCACCCTCATCTTGCCCCTCTTCCCCCTCCTCCTCTCCCTCACTCACCTCCTCCCCTTCCTCCAACTCCTCCCCTTCCTCCAACTCCTCATCCCTCCCACTCCCCCTCTCTCCCTCCTCCCACACCCTCTCAGCCTCCCCTCTGTCCCCTCTAGGCACCAGCACCACCTCTCGCACGCACACCAGCCCGTTGTGTGACACCGACACCAGCGTCCACGCCTGCCTCCCCGCCTGCTCTCCCTGCTCTCCTTGCTTCCCCTGCACCCCTGCATCGGCTGTGCCTTTATCAGTGGCGTCACCTCTTGGCGTGGCAGCAGCACTGGGCGGGTGGGGAAGGAGGGAGAGCGAGCAGCACGAACCGTCCAGACTCGGATCCGCCAGTCCCCACGGCCCTTCTGACAAAGCCTGTTGCCCCTCTCCTCCTAACCCTCCTGCCTCCCTGCCCTCCTCGCTCCCCTGCCCCACGTCGCCATCCCTTTCCCCCCCATCCCCCTCCCTGCATTGGCTACCGCTCTGCACCGCTGCGCACCCCTCGCCCTGCAGACAGCCCTGCCAGGCGGGAAAGGAGAGCAGCAGTCGGACCTGGGGAGCGGTGCTGGCAGGAGGAGGGGCAGCGTTGTAGACGTCCCCTCCCCCTGCTGCCTCACCTGCAGCTGCTGCTGGTGCTGATTCTGTTGGTGTTTCTACAGTGGATGGAGCGGGTAGGACAGATGTTGAAAGGAGCAACACGTCAACCTGAATAACGGCGCGGGGGTATAGGAAACGGAAGGACGGTGTGGGGATAGAGAGAAGTGGCAAGGAAAAAGGTGGGCATTGAGTGGGGGAGGAAAGAAGCATGTGAAAACGTACGGAAAACAGGAGGCAGTGGTAGCGGAGGGGAGAGAAAGCGATGCGGGAAAGGAATCATCAGCAAGAGCGAGGCAAAGTGTGCTTTGCTAAATCAATGTGCATCCCCTCCAGCAACAATGCATGCAAATGCCAAGCTTGCCCTCACCCCCAAAAATCTGCCCTGCCCTGCGTCCCCGAAAACCCCAAGCTGCACTGCCATGCCTTTTCTACAACCCCCAACCCACCATGCCATCTGCCACAATCTGCCAATCCGCACATCGAGGGATGGAAAGAAAACCTTCAACCAGCCCTGCCCTGCCTCCCCTAAACCCCGAACCCTTAACGTGCCATGTCATGCCCACCCTGAAACCCCGAACCCTTAACGTGCCATGTCATGCCCACCCTGAAACCCCGAACCCACCATGCCATGCTTGCGGGCGACTGCCACGATCTGCCCATCCACACAGAAGAAGAAACGGAAGGAAGGAAAAGGCAGTCGCATCTCATCATGTAATGACCAAGATTCATATTGAGTTACATATTATTGAAGAACGCCGTCTATCTGAAGATCTGACTGCTTACGGATTTAAAGGGGTGGGAGGGAGGGTGGAGGGGAAAGCTGCTCCAACGGATTGTAACACCTCAAACCCCTGACCGTTGGTCCGTCCTGTCACACCTGCTTGATGCGTCAGATCAGAACCACTTGCTTTCCCACTCAAGCCAATGCCAAAACAAGTGCTGTGAGAAGAGCTTAAACCCCGATGCTGTAAGCTCGGCGCAAGACTATCCTAAATTCTCGTCCACGACAGCTCATACCACGTCCACGACAGCTCATACCGGACTTAGAGGACTGTTAGAACCCACCTTAAGCCCTTCGGCCGTTTAAACCCTTAAACCTAGATCCCTCGCCCACGCTCACTCACCGACGATCGCTCGTCTACCGCCACACACGCCGACGAGCACACTGCCGAACGACCCTTATCCGCTTCGCCGAACCTAACCACCTCGGACTGCGCCGAACCGGACGCTCCGGCTCGGGCCCCGGCCGAGCCTCCTGCTGCGGCGCCTTTATTCTGCAAGAGAGAAACCACTGCGGGTGCGAAGGGAGGAAGGGAAGGAGGCGATTCGGTTGGCAAAATGCACGAACGTTGGAATACTTAGCGCGTCATTTCCACTAGGGATGAAGGCAACGAGAGGCGAGAGGCGAGAGTACTTTCGCGAGCTGGTCGCGCAGAGAATCGCCACGAAATCAGCGCGATGGTTCGATCGCTAATCGCTGTACCTTTGAGTAGGCCGAGCTCGTCGCCCGTGAGCAGTCGCACAGGCGGGCATGCGACGATTTCGCCGCGATCAACCTTCGGCATGGTTGGAAGGAAGCGACGGCCGTCGCAGGGTGGGTCTGCGATTCGATCAGCACGCGATCAGACTGTAACTAGTTCTAGGATGGGTCAAACTCAGGTGAACCAAAATAAGAGGGTCTACTATGAGTGTATGAATTGTCGCTGCGAACAAGTTACCTCCTCCTCCACGTTTGCGAGATTCGCTTGACAATATAGTCAATGCAACTTCCATGTACTGTTTTGCGAGTCATTTCGCGAGTGCTCTAACGAGCCTGCAAGCCATTCCCCTTTATCCACTTTTTTACATCGAACTCCTACATTTACTGGAACATTGACAAATTCGCTATAACGCTCAAATGTGTGGGAATATATTGTCCCAAAGTCTGGAAACCCAATTGAGTTTCAACGCAAGTGAACGCGGGGCAAAAGTGCGGGCTGCGGGAGGCAAACTGTGCACAGTTTGCCCTGGTTTTTTGTACGGGCATTTATCTTAGCGGTAACACTCATGGAGCTCAATCGCCAATGAGGTAAGCCACGTGTCGAAATCGTAACAAACGTTTCTTGTGATTGCCTGAGTGGTAACCAACATGCCTACCTGGTCAACATTATTGCCTGAATGGTAATGAACAGTGCATTCCGAACTCCAAACTGGTAACTGATCATTTCGACCACATTGTACACCGTACGTACACACTGTGACTCGGCAAAAAGGTAATCGAGAAGAATATGTGTTTCGCATTGTAAAAATTTCAAGTGTATAGCTTGAAGGTGTAAGGTTGAAATAGAAATAATATAGGCTATTAACATTTTTGCAATAGATTATTGTTCCTCTAGAGTTTATGAACCCTAAAAAAGCTTCTGATTATGATGTCTATAAATGGTTAATACTACTGATACTAAATTAATATATCTCGACGTTATAGCATCACATTGGATAATCGAATCGGTTATATAATTGTAGTGTTTGGCCAACTGTATGAAATGCGGAGTGGTATAAAACATGTCAATACGTGCATTTTACCGTATTTTCTATAAATATATTCGTGAAAAAAATACTTCCTTACTAATATACACATATTCTTCAAGTTATACACGTAAAATTATTACAATGCGCAACATATGTTCTTCTCGATTGCCTTTTTGCCGAGTCACAGTGTGTACGTACGGTGTATAATAGGGTCGAAATGATCAGTTACCAGTTTGGAGTTCGGAATGCACTGTTCATTACCATTCAGGCAATAATGTTGACCAGTTTTAGGCATGTTGGTTACCACTCAGGCAATCACAAGATACGTTTGTTACGATTTCGACACGTGGATGACCTCAGCAGCGATTGAGCTCCATGAGTGTTACCGCTAAGATAAATGCCCTTTTTGTAATTCGGGTCTTGGGCTTTTTCTTATTGAATGAACGAGCAATCCGTGGCGACCTGAACTGGAAGCAGGACGTTGGTTGATTCGCGCGAGAGGAGCGCAGGCACCACCACCGGAGTGCGACGAACGGGAGGCCGGCCGAAGTATTACTTCTAGAATAAACTCGTGTACAATCTATTGCGTTTGCATAGTGGAAACATTCACATAGTATTTGTGCCAGGCGATTTAGTTAACATTGCGAAGGACAACGACTCACCGGAGGGCTCGCGTGGAGAAGTAAATGGTCGATTCGATATCTTAGTCCACTCAAAAAGGTCGAATTGGGGAAGGAGAAGGAGGAGGGGCGACGCGACGCGACTGCAGGCGGAGGAACGGGCGGCGCGATTTTAGGCGCCTAATAACGGCGGAAGGAGGGACGCGGGGGGGGAATTTGCGATTGTCTGCTAATTAGTACCAAAAGGCGGCATGGCGAGCGCGAAAGCCGGCGACGGAGCTGGCGAGCTGGACTTGTCGCGAGCCAATCAGGGCGTGTGGCTGATGAAGGTGCGAAAATAATCGCGAACGACAAAGCAAAGCCCGTCGTGGTCCCGTCCCCTCTTACTAGCCATGCCATCCCGCCCTCAGGTACCTCAGTTCGTGGCGGATAGATGGCACACGGCGGGGGACAAGCCAACCTCTTCCCCCTCTTCCGCCCCTCTTACTCTACCCTCCCCCCTCCCTCTGCAGGTGCCACAGTTTGTGGCGGAGAGGTGGCACAAGGCGGGTGACAAGCCCGGGGGGGAGGCAGCAGCGGGGGGAGGCGCGGGGCAGGGCGCCGCCCCCACGCCTCCGCCACCAGGGGGGGGAGCGGGGGCGGGGGGAGTGGGCGTGGTGGGGCGCGTGCGCATGGCGTTTGACCCGCGCGCTCGCCCCCAGGGCGGACAGGCCGCCACCCAGGTGAGCTGACTATAACGAGGGGGCCTCCACCCAGGTATAAGGAGGGACCGCCACGCAGGTGAGGTGACTATAACGAGGGGTTGTGCCCAGGTGACGCTCTATAATCAAACAGGCTTTCAGTAAAATTGCAGCGCGCCACTGGTGCGATCTGCTGCGAGGAGGTGCGAAGCGGTGCGAGTGTAAGCTTTTGCTGTTAGAACTTTTGCTTGCGACGGCGCCGCAAGCCCACCGCTGCCAGAGCTTTCTGTGCAGCAGAGCCTCGCAATCCCAGCCAGCAGCCTGCCCTCCCTGCTCCCGCTGCCTATGTCTCCCCTCCCTTGCTGCTGCCTCCACACCACACCCCCCCCCCCCCCCCCTTTCATCACTTCATGATGTGCCTTGCCTCCTGGAGGCACCCAAAGGGGCAGCAGCGGAGCTCTCAGAGGAGTACAAGCATTCTCCATCTAGCGCATCAAATAACCTCGCATCTTTTCATTCACAGAGGAGCTCCCTGCTTTCCTCTTCCCTGCGAATGCGAAGATGCGAGTAACGATTTGTTACCCCTCTTCCCTTCATCCCTACCCCTCCCCTCGCTTCCCTTCCCACTGCCAGCCAGCCCCTCCTCACCCCACTTCACCGTTATCTATCTATCAGTTCGTGGTGCGACTAACGGTGCCAGAGGAGGGGTCAGCAGCAGAGCTTCCAATGGATGTTACTCACTCACTTCATTGTAGTGATGTTACCTCTCTCTCCCTCATACCCGCCTTTTCGCTCTGCTCCTCTCTCCTCGTCCCCAACCCTCCCGCCTTTTTCCCATCCTCGCATCCCACACCTCCGCTCCCCCCATCAGTTCATGATGCACCTGGAGGTGCCAGAAGGGGCAGCAGCAGAGATTCCTATAGAGTGCAACCTCGCATTCACAGCAGCCTCCCTCCCCTCCATCGGCTTCTCGTTTCTCACTCCTACCGTTCCCCTACCTTCCTTCCCGCCCCCCCCCCCCCCTCACACCAGTTCATGATGTGCCCGGAGGTGTCAGAGGGGGCAGCAGCGGAGCTTCCTATAGAGTACAACCTCGCGATTACAGAAGGCTCCCCGCCCTGCTCTTTTTGTCCCACACCCTCCCACTGCCTTCCTCCCCCCATCAGTTTTTGATGCGTCTGGAGGTACCAGAGGCGGCAGCAGCAGAGCTCCCGATAGAGTACAACCTCGCATTCACAGCAGTCCCCCTTGCCTGCTCTCGTCTTCACTCACTCCCACCCCTCTCCTCCCTTCTTGTCGCCACGCGTCACCTCTCCCCAATCAGTTTATGATGCGCCTGGAGGTACCCGAAGGAGCAGCAGCGGAGCTTCCTATGGAGTACAACCTTGCATTCACGCCCGACCACGTGCCCATGCACGTCTTCTCCGAGTCTGCTAGCGGTGCGTTGCGTTGCAGTGCATTGCTGTGCGGTGTTGTGCAATTTCTGTCCAACCTCACATTCACGCCCGACCACGTGCCCATGCACGTCTTCTCCGAGTCTGCTAGCGGTGCGTTGCGTTGCAGTGCATTGCTGTGCGGTGTTGTGCAATTTCTGTCCAACCTCGCATTCACGCCCGACCACGTGCCCATGCACGTCTTCTCCGAGTCTGCTAGCGGTGCGTTGCGTTGCAGTGCATTGCTGTGCGGTGTTGTGCAATTTCTGTCCAACCTCGCATTCACGCCCGACCATGTGCCCATGCACGTCTTCTCCGAGTCTGCCAGCGGTGAGTTTAGTGCAAGTTTAGTCCACCCCAACCCAAGGTGTCCCTGCGAGTCAAGCAAGTCAATCAATCCCCGTGTGGAGTACAACCTCGCTTTCACCCCAGACCACGTGCCCATGCACGTCTTCTCAGAGTCTGCTAGCGGTGAGCTGCTGTGCGTTGCTGTGCATGACCATTCTACTACTACCCCCTTGTGTGAAGTGCAGCCTCGCCTTCACCCTCCCGACCACGTGCATGGGCACGTATTCTCCGAGTCTGCTAGCGGTGAGCTGCTGTGTGCAAGACTATTGCATTACCCCAACGTTCCCCTGCAAGTCAAGCAAGTCAGTCGGTCTCGGTCCCCGTGTGGAGTACAACCTTCTCGCATTCACCCCTCACCACGTGCCCATGCACGCACGTCTTCTCAGAGTCTGCAAGCGGTAGGTGCCTAGTATCTACTATTCATCTACGTTCTTCAACTCCCATTGGTTTTTTTTTTATTATTGTTATTCAATTAATCCTTGTGTGCAGACCGAAACTCCCGTGATGAGAGTAGTGTACAACACCCCTGGCCGCGGGCCCATGCACCTCTTCTCCAACCGAGGCTGCAGGCTGTGCGTTGCTAGGATGTGATCCTGTGGAATGTCGTGTCACATCCTGTCGTGCCATGCCCTGTCGTGTCATTCGTGTCGTGTGAGGGCAAGGTTGAGCAAGAGTTTGATAAGCAGCTCAGCTGCCCAGTGGGGTCAGAGGTACCAGCAGACGCTGCAGAGCAGATGGCAGATGGCTAAGCCCACTCACACCCAGTCGTTGTTGCTGCTCTTCCCCCCCTCGTCGATCTGTCTGCACGCTGCATTGCTCTGGAGGGCGAGGTGGAGCAAGATTTTGATAAGCAGCTACCCAGTGGAGTCAGAGGTGACAGGCTGCCAGCAAACGGCTGGTGGAATCCCACCCTGTATCGTTGCTGATTTCCCCCCGCCTCCCGTTTTGTTTTCCTTCCCGTATCGATCCATTACAGGTCGCATTGCCCTGGAGGGCAAGGTGGAGCACAAGTTTGACATGCAGCCGCCCAGTGGGGACCGGGGGTATCGGCAGATGCTGCAGACGCGGGAGAAGAAATGGAACACTCCCAAACGCAAGCTGCAGGTGGGTTGAGTCTAGGGGGGGTTGAGCAGATCAGGCGTTGAGGGGGGGAGGAAGGGGGGGTATTGAACGGCAGATGCTGCAGGCGCGGGAGAAGAATTGGTACACACTCAAAACGCAAGCTACAGGTAGCAGAGGAATGGGACGCTGAGGATCAGACTTCTGGACACGGGTGTAGGAGTTGGGTGGCAGGTTGAGAGGTGGGTGCTTTTCTTCTCCCCACCGTCTCGCTACTCACTCTTTATCCCTTCCCTTCCATTCTCGTGCCGTCCCTTCCCTTCCCGTCCGTTCCCTTCCTTTCTTTTCCCTTCCCGTCCTTTCCCGTCCCTTCCCGTCCCTTCCCGTCCCTTCCCTTTTCTTCCCATGCCTGTGCCTCTCTCTCTTCCTTCCACTCACTCTTCTCTTCCCTTCCCTTTGCCTCACTTTGCTGCAGATGTACGACCCAGGTGCATCAGGCCGCTGTCTGCCCATGCCTCTGCCTCTCTCTCTTCCCTCTACCCACTCTTCTCTTCCCTTCTCATCCTCGTCCCTTCCCTTCGCTTCCCTTCTCGATCCCCCCCCCTTCGCCTCCCTTGCCTACAGATGTACGACCCAGGTGCCTCGCACCCCCATCTGCCCATGCCTATGCGGCTCTCTCTTCCCTTCTCACTCTCGTCCCTTCCGGTCCCTTCGCCTCCCTTGCTTGCAGATGTATGATCCAGGTGCTGCGGGTCCCCGTCTGCCCATGCCTGGTACCGTCTCCAACGTCAAGGTGAGGGCATACGCACACAGAGCTGCATGGTACAGGGGGGATGTAATGCAAGGCAAGGTGCATGGTACAGGGGGGATGTAATGCAAGGCAAGGTGCATGGTACAGGGGGGGTGTAATGCAAGGCAAGGTGCATGGTACAGGGGGGGTGTAATGTAAGGCAAGGTGCATGGTACAGGGGGGGTGTAATGCAAGGCAAGGTGCATGGTACAGGGGGGGTGTAAGGCAAGACAAGACACGGGCAGCGCGAATTCTGCCCATGCCTCGCACCGTCTCCAACATGAAGGTTAAAGCTTCAGTATACATTTGTCACCGTGGTTTCGGGTTTTACCGTGTTCCTCACGGTTTTTCCACAAAGTTTCAAGTTCCAAAGGATTTTGAACCCCAACCTTTCAATCGAATGTATACTGAAGCTTTGAAGCAGCAGTAATGTGAGGGTAGAAATGAGGTGATGGCAGCCTTGCGCGATCATTTTGCACACTCCAGCTCTGCTCCAGCCAAGATGGCACCGTGAAGGTGAGGGCAGCCCACTATGAATGCATGTGGCCTGCTCAAGCCGGCCATTATGAATGCATGTGGCCTGCTCAAGCCGGCCATTATGAATGCATGTGGCCTGCTCAAGCCGGCCATTATGAATGCATGTGGCCTGCTCAAGCCGGCCATTATGAATGCATGTGGCCTGCTCAAGCCGGCCATTATGGATGCATGTGGCCTTGCTCAAGCCGGCCATTATGAATGCATGTGGCCTGCTCAAGCCGGCCATTATGAATGCATGTGGCCTGCTCAAGCCGGCCATTATGAATGCATATGGCCTGCTCAAGCCGGCCATTATGAATGCATGTGGCCTGCTCAAGCCGGCCATTATGAATGCATGTGGCCTGCTCAAGCCGGCCATTATGAATGCATGTGGCCTTGCTCAAGCGGGCAAGGTGGCAGCAGCATGGGCAGCAGAGCAAGAGAACAAGCGAGGGAGTGCATTGAGGTGGGAATTGTTCAAGCCCTCTCTAACCTCCTGTCCCTCCCTCTTTCCCCCCGAAACCTCCGACCTATCCACACGATTCTTCTACAGAGCAAGGCAGGCACGACACCGGCATGGCAGCAGGCGGCAGGAAAGGATTGCAAGCTAGTGCGTAGGTTAGGGAAGCCAGGCCTTTTTCCACCTTGTTCCCAACCCTCCCCTCCCCCACCATTTCTCTCCAGCGCAAGGCAAGCACCACACCGGCATGGCAGCATGCGGCGGCAGCGAGGGCAGCAGAGAAGGAGAGCAAGCGAGTGCGCATGTCACGAGACGTGGTGGAGGCAAAGCTGTCAACGCATTACGCCCAATCCCCCCTTTCCCACTCTTTTCCCTTTCCCTCCCTCCCTCGCTCTCTGCCCCCACCCTGACCCCACTTCCCCCACTTCCCTCCAGCGCAAGGCAAGCACGACACCGTCGTGGCAGCAGGCGGCGGCAGCAAGGGCAGCGGAGAAGGAGAGCAAGCGAGTGCGCATGTCACGAGACGTGGTGGAGGCAAAGCTCTTTGCGCTGTTTGAGGAGCGCCCGCACTGGACGCTGAAGCACCTCACAGACGCGACGCAACAGCCACAGGTGAGACGATGAAGGGGAGCAGGTGAGGGGTGGAGGGGAGCAGGTGAGGGGTGAAGGGGAGCAGGTGAGGGGTGAAGGGGAGCAGGTGAGGGGTGAAGGGGAGCAGGTGAGGGGTGAAGGGGAGCAGGTGAGGGGTGAAGGGGAGCAGGTGAGGGGTGAAGGGGAGCAGGTGAGGGGTGAAGGGGAGCAGGTGAGGGGTGAAGGGGAGCAGGTGAGGGGTGAAGGGGAGCAGGTGAGGGGTGAAGGGGAGCAGGTGAGGGGTGAAGGGGAGCAGGTGAGGGGTGAAGGGGAGCAGGTGAGGGGTGAAGGGGCACTGGAGCTGGGTTGGAGTGGGTGGTCATGTGAGTGGTGGAGGCAAAGCTCTTTGAGGAGCGCCCGCACTGGACGTTGAAGCACCTCACAGATGCCACTCAGCAGCGGCAGATATGAAGTGGTGCAGGTGAGGTGAGGGAAGTAAGAGAACAGGTTGGAGTGGGTGCGCATGTCATGAGATGTGGTGGAGGCGAAGTTCTTTGCACTCTTTGAGGAGTGGTCCCACTAAACTGGACGTTGAAGCGCCTCACAGATGCCACTCAGCCGCCACAGGTGAGAGGATGAAGGGGCACTGGGGCAGATTAAAAGTGGGTGCGCATGTGGGTGGTGGGGACGAAGATGTTCGCGCTCTTTGAGGAGCGACCGCACTGGACAAGCACCTCACGGATGCCACTCAGCAGCCGCAGGTGAGAGGATGAAGGGGGGGGGGGGGGGGTTGGGGGAACGGGGGAGGAGAGGAGGGAGGGAGTACATGTTGGAATGCGCACCCGTGTGGGTGGTGGAGTTTTGATGCCCCTCAAAAGGGAGCAGGGTGGAGTGCTGCAGGTGAGGGGTGACTGACTTAACACAGCAGCCACTGGTGAGAGGATGGGGGGTGAGCACAGGTAGGAGTGGGTGCGCATGTGGGTGGTGAAAGCAAGCAAAGCTTTTTGCTCTCTTTGAGGAGCGACCACGGTGGACTCTGAAACACCTCACAGACGCTACTCAGCAGCCGCAGGTGAGGGGATGAGGGCAGCAGACTGGCGTGCGTATGCATGTGGGTGACTGGGGCGACATGTTGGCTGTGTGGGCGGCTGTGTGCTCTCTAGGTGACTTTTGATTCGACTCAGAAGTCACCTCGACTGGGGCGACATGTTGGCTGTGTGGGCGGCTGTGTGCTCTCTAGGTGACTTTTGATTCGACTCAGAAGTCACCTCGACTGGGGCGACATGTTGGCTGTGTGGGCGGCTGTGTGCTCTCTTTTTGAGGAGCAACTCAAGCGCCTCACGAATGCGACACAGCACCCGCGCAGGTGAGGGGTGACGGGGGGGGTGAGTGGGGAGTAGGGGGTTGCGTGAGAAGGAGGGGGGTGCGTTCTGTGTGGGTACAAATGTGCCATGCCATGTGCCACATGCCTTTCTGCCAGCCGTCTTACCCATGTCACACCCACAATCCCACGTCCTTCCCTCCCCTCCCCTGCCACCCACAGCAATTCCTCGAGGAGGTGTTGGGCGACATGTGTGTGTCCAACAAGTGCTCAATGCCATGTGCCGTTCACTTGCCTTGATGCCACCTATATTCACACCTGTATACACCCCCTCCCCTCCCACCGCACAGCAATTCCTCAAGGAGGTGTTGGGCGACATGTGTGTGTACAACAAGAGTGCATGTGCCCTGTGCTGTGACTCAAGCCAGCCATCTTACCCATGTCACACCCACAATCCCATCCCCCCTTCTTCCCTCCCACCGCACAGCAATTCCTCAAGGAGGTGTTGGGCGACATGTGTGTGGAGAACAAGAGTTCACTTTCCTTGCCGCCACCTACGGTACATCCACACCTGTCCACACCCCCTCGTTCTCCTCCCCTGCCCCCCACAGCAATTCCTCAAGGAGGTGTTGGGCGACATGTGTGTGTACAACAAGAGGGGACCCAACCAGGGCCTCTACGAGCTCAAGCCTGAGTACAAGCACGCAGCGCCACCAGCTTCTTAACTTTGCTGTACCGAGTGCAAACTCACTGTTGAAAACTGGAGGGAAATTGCTGTGTGTGTGTGTACAATGAGGGCCCCACTCCAACCAGGGCCTGTACGAGTACAAGCATTCAGCACAGCCACCCTTGTAACTTCACACTACTGTGTGGTTGGAAGTGCCAACTCACAGTTAACAACTGGAAGATATAGGGTTGGTGGCAAATGGTAATTTCATTGTGTGTGTGTGTACAACAAGAGAGGGCCTCTCACTCCAACGAGGGCCTCTACAAGGTCAAGCCCGAGTATGTGGCTAGTAGGCCAGGCTACCCTTGTGAGTTTACAACATCCTGTGATTGGAAAATGGCTTGTCTTCTATACTACTCTCAAGTTGGAGGTGCAAGCCCTCCCTTGTGGCTGAGTTTGGAAATGGCTGACAATAACGGAATCCATGTAGCTATGGTAACGGTAAATGAGAACAAAATTATAGGTGCTAATGTATTATGTAGTAGTGCACCGAATGCAGCGCACATTGTCATCGAATCGTTGGAGCATTCTCTCGAACCATCACACTTCATCTACGGTAAAGGCGTGCAGTACACAAACACCAGAGGGTTGTTTTCCACATCTCACCTTCCCACGCGCCCCTCCTTGTCTTGTGGAGGCGAAAAAATCAAACCTGATCATACTTGATAATGAAGTGATGGCACCAAATAACGCGTCATCGTACGGTACGATCGGCGCAGCGCGGTCTCTCTCATCCCATGGTGCATCCAGGATCCCATGAGTCATTGCGCCCGCAGAAGTCCCAAACGTTGTCCACCTACTCCCACTTCCCCATCCCATGCAAGCGATAAATTCAGCCCAGATCATGCAGTGGCACGCAACGACCCCACGGACCCTGGCTGCATTAAGAGACCCCACCGATCATGCAGTGGCACCATATAATCACGCATCATCATACGACCGGTGGGGCCCCTTCGTGCAGCCAGGGTCCATGGGGTCGTTGCGGCCGCAGCAGAGAGTGTCAAACAACAGTGGGGCAATCACTATCATCATGAGTAGCAGCATCACGCATCATCATATGATCGGTGGGGTCCCTTAGTGCAGCCAGGGTCCATGGGGTCGTTGCGGCCGCACTGCAGCAATCCCAACCCAGCAGCTCTTGACATGGTCATCGTAACACATCGTAGCATGCAGTAACACCAAATCACGCATCATCGTACGACCGGTGGGGCCCCTTAGTGCAGCCAGGGTCCATGGGGTCGTTGCGGCCGCAGCAGTCCCAAAAGTTCTCCACCTCTCCCCACTCCGCCCTAGTCTCCTCTGAGTGATAAAGGAACTCCTTCCCCACCTTGTGGTATGAGAATGACTGCATTGCACAGAAGGTATGGGTGCAAACAGGGAGTGAGAAGGCAAGGTCACAAGGTGTGCAATCAAGGTGCAAAGCTGAAGTGGCCGCAGCAGTCCCATCAGTTTTCCACCTCTCCCCACTCCGCCCTTGTGTCTTCCGAGTGATAGAGGAACTCCTTGCCAACCTTGTGGTACGAGAATGACTGCATTGCACAGAAGTGTGAGAGGGCAAACAGGGAGTAAGAAAGCTGAAACGGCCGCAGCAGTCCCAAACTTTCCACCTCTCCCCACTCCTCCAACCTCTCTTGTCCGAGTGGTAGAGAAGTTCCTTGCTCACCTTGTGGTATGCGCAGTTACAAGGGTTGCAATGACAAGGAGCACAAGGTGAAAATGGTGTCAGGATACAGTACGGGGCGAAAACGGCATGTATGCAGAGGGCAGCAGCTAAGGGAAGACGTAAGAGTGCGGGCAAGCAATAAAGGCATGATAAAACCTAGGCGTGAGAAACTTTTGCAAGAGGAGGCCTTCTGCTACAAGGTACAGAGAGGCCCTTTCAAGGCTTACAGATAGCCTCGAATGGGGAGTGAAAGACTTAGTTGGGGCAAGAGAAGGAGCGGCAGAAGCTGGGTGAGAGCCAAAGGCCGTGGACTGACAACGGCTTTCCTCGAGAAAGAATGTGTGATTTTCTCACCTTCCATTTCCGTTTAACTTCGCCTGGGGTATTCACCTCACCAGACACACACATATGCACAGAGGCACACACTCATGCACACGCTCACGCACGCACGCACGCACGCACGCACGCACGCACGCACGCACGCACACACACACACACACACACACACACACACACACACACAAACAGATGGTTGAGAGTGAAATGAAACGACATGCTGAAGTGGATCAAGAGCGCACAGGCAGCCAGAGATGGGAGCGAGGAAGGGATGGAGTGCAGAGGGGGGAAGAAAGGGAGTGCTACAGCGAGGGGGATGGAGTGCGGATGGGAGAAGGAAGCACAGGAAAGCGGGATCTTTCACAAACAGGAAACGGGTGGTGAAAGAGGGAGATTCTAGAAGCAGGCGGGAGAGTAGATGGGACGGGAAGGGTTGCTAGAAGAGAGAGATTGGAGTTGGCAAAATAGAATTGTCCCTACCACCCCATGACATAACAGAAACATATTTTAATACCATAACTCTTATCATATCCACATACTCATACTGCTCTGCCTTTGATGCTCATACTTCATCCCACCTCTACTGCATTACTCCAAAGTTTGGCTCACACCCATTTCACCTCTGCTACACTACTGCCCTGCTTACTGGCATATATCCTACTGTGTACTGCCTATACCGGCTCTTACCAAAGCACCTGACAGCCCACAGCATAGCTGCTCTGTACCTCCGTAGTGCGCAGGGTTGGAAGGAGCAGGAGGAGAGGTGGTTTTGACAATGATATAGCCACATAGCGACGCCTAGAGCATGGCACCTACCACATGCCATCACTTCATTCATACCTCTGCCCACCACTCTCTACCTCCCACAGCACAGCCGGCACCACATCCCACCACTCTGTACCTCCGTAGTGGGCGGGGTGGAAGGAGCAGGCGGAGGGGTGGTTCTGGGCGGGGTCGAACGGCTGCTTGCACTGCCGACACGTCAGCAGCACCGGCGCCTCTGCTGAGCTGGCACCACTGGCGGCGCTGCTGCTATTGGTCACCTCTGCTGCCACGCTGGCTGCGCGAGCTGCGAAGGAGACATTGCGAGCTGGGGGAATATGGGGATATGGGAATATGGGGATATGGGGACATGGGGATGTGGGGACATGGGGATGTGGGGACATGGGGATGTGGGGACATGGGGATGTGGGGATGTGGGGATGTGGGGATGTGGGGAGCCAGTGTGTCATGTGCATTGGAAACCCGCACTCTGCATGTGAAGCTGACGCTGCGAGGTGCAGGGGAATAGAGTGCTGTTGTATCCGACTTGAAGTGATTTGTTTTTTCTTCTTTAAAGAAATTGTGACTCAAGTATTTTTACAAACTTTCGAAAATGACTGGGGCGCAGATGACATACGCCCAACTTTCCATTTGATGACAATGCTGCGCGCTGCAAATGTTTGGAGAGGGGTAATTCAACTGCCTCTTATAGGTCAAGAGGGGGTTAGGAGAGTGATACGAAGAGACTGAACGTGAAACGGAAGAGGGGGGGAGATACAGGGATGTCTTTTGAGGCGCCTCAAAAGATGAGCTAGGTGAGGCGGGCGAGACAGGGATGTGGGGGACTGAAAGGAGCGGGAGATTAGCGCGCGTCAATCATTCTCTGCATGATTTACACGGGCACGCAACTGCATTGGCACTACCAAGGCTTCGGGACGTCTGAAAACTTGAGGCTGAGACGTATCAATCAAGGCATGACGTACATTATATCGCGGGATGCTAAACGCGGATGAAGAAGGCCTGTTCGGATGAAGCAAATATGCTCCGAGCCTCGTTCAGGAAGGCGAATGCAGGGCTTTCGAGATGTTCACGCATTCTAACGGCTTTTGAGACTGACCTTCAGAGATAATAGTGGCGTTATTACCCACGACGACAGTAAGGAGCCTCACCAGATGTACAGGGGAAGCGCGCCGTTGGATTCGACGCGCCGCGCGAAACAAGGGCGACTCCGCACGTGGAAACGGCTCCTAAAGCAACGCACGTCATGGCTGCCGTGGCGATGAATCAAAGGACTCGGTCGGGTGAAGTTCGCATACGATACACAGTCGTCGCGGCTGTCGCAGCAGGATTGTCGCAATGGATTATGGAATGCGGCTCAAGGTGAGCTTGGTCTCTAGCATTGACAAACGGGTACGCGTGGAAGGGCGTGTTCAATACGACGGCGGTGTTTATGCGAACCACGGCTGTTGCATCGCACGAGAACATCTCTAACATTGTCCCGGTTGCTTTAGTAAGTTCTTCTGAACCATCCTGCCTGTTTCAATGCGCAGATGTGCAAACACAGCCTCAATTCAAATTTCGTTGAATCCAACTTCAGCAAGCCACTTCGCCCTCGTTCAATATTCATAGATCTCTCCATTCATCATCATGTTATCTTCATAACCACGCACCTTCACTCCTAGCAGCCGTCATCCTAAAGCTTCGTTCGACGCGATAACAACGGAGCCGCTGCCGATCTGATTTCTGGATCCTGCTAATTCCAGTTAACTCTGCTAACGGTCAACTCGGTTGGTGAACAGTACGTCCTTCGCGTCGCGCCTTCCAGCCAATCAGCGCCATGGCAGCGTTCGACGCCATCACGGAGGAGCCGCCGCCCAGCCGCCACTGGGACGATCCGGATTTCGAGTCCTTCCCGCCCAAACACTCTGGCTCCGTCGCTCCCTTCCGCTTCGAAGTAGGTTCTTTCTTCGTCTCCTCGTCGCCGCGATGCTCGCAGTAGGAAGCGAGCCCTGGTTCATATCCGCCTCTCGGCCGATCCGCGGAGGTTTAGCTGTCCAATCACATCTCCCTCGGCGCTCCCCTACGCTTCGGAGTAGGAAATTATCTTTCTCCACTAATATAGACCAACGGGAAGAAACGGGGGTTACTCAGAGGCGCAGCGGCATCCTTTCAACTATTCGTGTGAGCCCGCAGGCGTTACATCTCACCTGCTGCTAGCTTGAGATGCGAACTTTCGCGAAGTGTGCCGCGCTGCTTCCGAGATGCCCAGCTCACTGAGGGTATTGGGATAGCTATGTTGAAATGCAGACGCGCCGCGGTACTCGAATTGTCGGGTCCAGCCGTGTGACGGAGGGGTATTTTGTGAAGGTGACGGAATATGACCCGTTATAGCACGCATCGGGATACTAACGCGTGATTACGATCTGTCTGTAGCTGTGTCGTACGACTGCAGTATGGCGATTTGGATACGTGTGGTGCAATTGCGACGGTAAGATGCGGAAATTGAATTCTTACCGCGTCTGTAGCAGGGGCAGCAATCTTGGAGTCTCTTTTGAGAATTCTCAAAAGCCAGGCGCGATCTGGATGCCTGATGATCTGGGTGGCAGATATGGACGGCTGATCTGGACGCGATCCAGGCGGCTGAACCAGTATGTGCTTTCTGCCCCTGCTGCTTGACCGATGCCTTCCCCCCTCTTTTTGTCTCCCTCCCGCAACCACCAGTGGCTGTGGCACGACCCCTGCTCCTCATCACTGCTGCAGCGCCTCTCCCTCTCTCCGCCTTCCACCACCACCAGCACCACCCCCACTGGCAGCGACAGCAATGATGGTGCAAGCCTGGCTAGTGGTGGTGGTGGTGTGGGGGGAGGGGGAGGAGAGGAGAGGGGATGTGTGGCAGTACGCCTGCTACTCGTGGCAGCAGCACCGGCTAGCAGCGACCTACTCGCCCATGCTGTGGAATCACTGGGAGGGAATCCTACCTCAGCCCCTCTTTCTGACACACATGCTGCTGCTGGTGGCGCTGGCGCTGCTGACGTGGCCTCTGACGGTGCTACTGCTCCCAGTGACAAGAGTTCTGCATTTAGATTGGCTGCGCGGATCCACTACGGCAACAGCGGCGGAAGCAGCAATGGCAGCAGCAGTGGCGTTGATGGGGGGAGGTGAGACTGACTGCTGAAACCAGCTGAGAGAGTAACTAATTGTTCATGTGCCGGTGGAGTCCCTCCTCCTGCCAGTGATGCCGTCTTGCCAAGAGTCCCTTGTCCTGCCGCTGTCGTTTTTAGACCCCATTGTTGCTGGCCCTGATGCCGCCTTGCCTTGCCACACGCATGGTGCACGGTGCATGGTGTATGGCATGTCATGCATGGGTTACCGGGCATAATGCATGGCACATACTGCGTGCCACATGGCGCATGTGACATGGTGCACGGCATGTACCATCATGCATGCCACTGCCACATGATGCGTGTCACATGTTGCATGTCATGTGATGCATGACTTCGTCATGCATGCGTGCAGATCATCATCAGCGCAGCACACGTCACACCTCTACCTCACAGAGACAGGTGGCACCGCGCTATTAACTGCAGGCCATGGTCGGCTGGAAGCAGAGCGGTGCTTCGAGTGGGTGCGAGGCGTCATGGCGCATGTGAAACCATCCCTGTGAGTCATGGCGCATGTGAAACCATCCCTGTGAGTCGTGGCGCATGTGAAACCATCCCTGTGAGTCGTGGCGCATGTGAAACCATCCCTGTGAGTCATGGCGCATGTGAAACCATCCCTGTGAGTCATGGCGCATGTGAAACCATCCCTGTGAGTCATGGCGCATGTGAAACCATCCCTGTGAGTCATGGCGCATGTGAAACCATCCCTGTGAGTCATGGCGCATGTGAAACCATCCCTGTGAGTCATGGCGCATGTGAAACCATCCCTGTGAGTCATGGCGCATGTGAGACCATCCCTGTGAGTCATGGCGCATGTGAAACCATCCCTGTGAGTCATGGCGCATGTGAAACCATCCCTGTGAGTTACAATGCGGAAGAAGGTGTGATGTTTATCAACATTCTTACAATCACCTCACCTCCTACCCCCTGTCACCCACCTTCTTTTAACCCTTTCTCCATGCCATCCACCAGGGCGGCCATATTTCTCTCTGTCAGCCACCTCTTTCCCCTCACTGCCCTGTCCTCCTTCTTACAGTCACCTCCCATCCGCAAACTATCCAACCGTTTCCCACCCCTTCCAATCCGTTCCCCATGCCGCCATCAGGTTTCAGGACTGCCATCTTCTCCCACTTGTACTGTATCACCGTTCTTGTCTCCCAACCATTTCCCACCTCCCCAACACCCTCCTCCCCAACACCCTTCTCCCCAACCCTCTCCCCATCCCATCCATCAGGACGGTCATCATTTCCTCTCTGCCGGCCTCCTCTCTCCCCTCACTGCCCTCTGTGCCGCCCAAACTGCATGCCACGTCACTGGGCCCCCTTGCTGCCGTGGATGTGTGGCGGCTTGAGACAGATGCTTTCAAGGTACGGCTCTGATTGGTGCAGAGGTATGGGATGCGGTATGGGATGCGGTTTGGGATGCGGTATGGCATGCGGTATGGATGCGGTATGGGATGCGGTATGGGATGCGGTATGGGATGCGGTATGGGATGCGGTATGGGATGCGGTATGGGATGCGGTATGGGATGCGCTATTGCCATGTCCACAGCATGTACTACTGCAATGCATGCTTGTCCGTAATACACATGGGCCATGTCAATGCTCTGCACATGGGCCATGCCAATGCTCTGCACATGGGCCATGCCAATGCTCTGCACATGGGCCATGTCAATGCTCTGCACATGCCATGTCGTGAGCTGCCTCGAAACACGTCGCAGTGCCATGCCTGTACCTGCACCATGTGGTGTAGTGTATGGTCCAACATACGCTTTCAATGTATGCTCTGCTGTGAAATAAGACACTCTTCGATCCATGTGCCTTTCACTCAACCTTCACATCAAATCCTCCACCCGTGCCCATATCCCCCACCCATGCCCCCTATCCCCCACCCACCCATGCCCATATCCTCCACCCATGCCCCCTATCCCCCACCCATGCACCTCCAATCACAGCCTTCAGCACTCATCCCCTCCACCCTGGCTACTTTCTCGCCTACCCCGAGGTCCCGAGGTCCCGCATCCTCGCTCCTATCTCCCTCATTCTCATCCTTGTTAAATCCCATTTTCTTGCTCTCCCCGTCCCTCCTGTTCCTCCCAGGCGTCACCATTCGCAGCCCTCGCTCCTCTCCCTGCCATCGCCTTTCTCCCATCGGGCAGCCTCATCGACGGTCTCCCTGCTGCTCTCCTCTCCCATGTATGCCTCCCCCTGCTTTTCTGGTATTCCCTCGTTCTGTGTATGCTCGTTCTTCCTCCTTCCCTTGTGTGCTCTCTGGTTCCCCTCCTCTCTCTTTGCCTTAAATCCTCTATCATGTGCTGCCCACTGTGCCCCCCCACCTTGCCCTTTCCGTTCTGCATGCGCTGTCCAGCGGTTCTCTAGTATATTCCCCTTTATTATTCCAGCAACTCAACAGTAACCCTGTATATCGAGGCGTTTGCTATGTCTTCACTATTCAATCGAACTGTGTATCTTGATATCCTTGACTTCCCTCACTTACACTACACTCCTCTTTCATGACTGTGTTGAGGAGACATCACCCCCAGTCTCATCCCCACTCTCCCGTCCCTGCTATCCTCTCTCCCACACTCCTTACTCCACTCTCCCACTCTCCTCTCTCTCCTGCTCTCTGCATTCCTCCCTCCCACTCCCGGAACTCTTGTCTCCCACCATCTCCTCTTGCATACCTCCGTTTCTCACTCACCCTTCTTTTGCCCCTCGCGCAGTGTCAGCCCCGGCAGCTGCCAGCTGTCGCGCTCTCATTCGTGGACCGCCACTGGAGCGGCAGCTCCCCAGGCACAGTGCGAGGCATGGCGTGGCTCATGGGGGAGCTCGTGGTGGGGTGTGCTGGTGGGGAGGCGGTTAAGGGAGCAGGAGCGGGAGCAGGATCAGGAGAAGGAGCAGTAGCAGTGGAGGAGGAGGGGGGTAAGGCTGTGAGGGAGGCTCTGTTGAGAGCAGGCGGCGTGTGGGCGAAGCAGTGGAGTGCCGTGCCGGCAGGGCATAGGAACGGGGCTGCTGAGCTGTATGTGTGACGTGGAAGGGACTACAGTGGGAGAGGGAGGGCTGTTCATGGTGCGAGGCATGGCATGGCTCTTGGGGCAAATTGTGCCGGCGTGTGATGGTTAAGGCCATGCGGGAGGGGTTGCCGAGAGCAGGAGGTGTGTGGCCGAAGCAGCGGTATGCTGTGCCTGCAGGGAATGCAAACAGAGCTGCTGAGATGTATGCTTGCAGTGGAAGGTGCTGGGGTGAGTTCCATTAGTGTAACAGAAGGGAGCACTGTTGGCGTGGGAGGGCAAATCTCCTGGCACCATGAGGCATGGCTTGACTCATAAGTCCAACTGTGGAGGCGTGTGCTGCTGTGGACGAGGAGGGGAAGCAGAAGGGATGCTGTTGGAGTGAGAGGGCTTGCTTAGCAGGTTGTCACTGCACGAGGCATAGCATGGCTTCTGAGACGAACGGATGGTGGGAGGGATAGCGCGGCTCGTGGACCGAGTAGGGGATGCGTGGGTAGCTGTGAAGGGAGGTGCGGACTAGGAGAAGGTGCAGCAACAGCAGCAGGTGCAGCACCAACAACAGCAGCAGGTGCAGCACCAGCAGCAGCAGGGTTGGTAAGGGTATGAAGCAGACTCGTGTGAGGGAATGTACGCTGCATGGGCAGACTCTTGTGAAGTGGATTGCTGTACTGCGCTGTGCCTGTTACGAGCTGTGTGCTTCAGATGGGTATGGAGCTGTCATGAAAATGGGCTGGAGTGGCTATGTACTTACGGTACCGTACGTGTTTCGGGGGATAACAAGTTAGAAGGTCCCTCGTCGTAGCGACTTTCACTTCTAGCTAGAACTCCCACAATGTTTTGAGGCCTGGAACGAAATGCCTATGGTGTTTTAACATTGAAACAAGCCATCGTAATGCATATATAGACACTGACGAACTGCAATTGTTTCAAGGGTGCTTATGACGAGCACATGATGACCGTGAGAAACGTGAGCGACATGGTGAATGTGTATGTGGGGATGATGTTTTTGTGGTTCCCACCAATCAAAAGGACGTGAGTTCCTTTTAGCCCTAGTTTTTACCAAACATAAAGAAAGTGTAGAGGAGCTGTTTAAGCGCATACTATCGCATCACACGGTAACGAAGCGAATTCAGCTGAGACTTTCTTAGGGCTCTGTCCACGAAGGACAGATATGTTGCACCACGCGCCGCGTCACCCGCAAGTCTCGCTGCACCGTTAGGCTTTGCCCTCGTCGTTCATATCGTTGGCACTGTCGGATGGAGCGAGCGTCGTTGCGACGCACCATGCACGACGCGTGCGTGCCCTACATGATGTGTCTCAAAGCGACCGCAATTTCGCATGCAGCTGCAGTCGCGTCGCGTTGGTCGGAGACTCCCCTGCGGCCCTGCGCGTTGGACCCTAGGTATCACGAGTTAGGAGAAACGCAGAGAACGAATTCGCGATACCATTTTTCTCATTCAGAGGAGAAACAGTTAATCGTGATCTCTCGTTAGGAGGAAAAACAGGGAATGAATTCGCGATAGTACTTCTCTCGTTTGAGCGATCCGGGCGTACCTCGGTGCGGCCGCAAAATCGAGCCTATAGTAGCGATCATGGCGCAGTGAGCTTGAGCAATCCGAGTTCACGCGGATTTCCATTCTGACGTCTGTCAAGGAGGTTTTCTCGTTACGCTATGGTTGTCACGTAGATGCTGATGGCATGCGATCGTTTCTCATCCCCTCGTGTTTCACGAAAGGGCCTCTGCCTCTTCCTACGACGATCACTTCGCGCGAAGAGTTTTTCGAGTCGTAGAGGGCCTCTGCTTTTTCCTACGAACGAACGCTTCACTTCGTAGTAACGACTCCGAAATCGTGTTCTAACAAGTTCGGTTCCTCCTCAGCGCAAAGCTCATACTACCAGTGACCCGCCGAACTTGCGGCCCGCGCAGGGTTTCTACTGGCAGCGACGTTGCGTCCGTCACGGAGGGGATCCTGAGAGATTAGCTGTTCCATATACAGCATTTAAGTGAGTAGCTACAACAGTGAGGGTGATTGCGCGTGGATGCCTACGTATTCGATGTTGCTGAAAGGCCAGATTGGTGTTCTTTATTGTGGAATGCCGCATCTTCCACGTACATGTCCGATCATCAACGAATGTGAATAATTCTAATATACTTAGGTCTCTGTAGACCTAAGAATCGCGAAAAAGGTCTGTTCACTGCGTTTTATGTCCTTGTTGTTTTCTCCCATTGTAAAACCCCATCCCAGTACGAGTCTCAATTGCTGTCACCCTCTTAGTCGCCATGCTTCCCAGTGCCATCCCTCTCCTGCCCTCATCTCCTCCTTGTCAACCGTTTTTTCCTCTTTGAAATCCAAGCAGGCCCGGGTGGTGGAGGGTGTGAAACAGCCTACTGCACGAGCTGTGGAGCGGACGTCATGGAAGGTAGGCACGTTGGGGCATTGCAAGCTAGAATTGGTTGCTCAACTTAATCACGCAGTCGGTTTTCGAGAGATCTACAAGAATGCCTCGTTTTATATTCTGAACAGTCGCCTCCGTGAGTGGTACGCGGGGCGCCAGGGGTCTGGGGGTGCTGGTCCCTGTACTTACGTCCTGCGCACCGGTGACCGCCCTGGAGAGCAGTGTGGCGGCCTGCACGCCACCCAGCGCTGCTTCGGTCGCCTGACGGACGCCTGGCGTGCCCAGTTCCCGGACGCCACTGAGATCCCTCGTTGGGGAGACAGGCTTGAGCCTGGAACGTCACCCACCCGCGCTTGTGCATTCTCTTCCCCCCACGTCCATCTGCTGCAGTTAATTCCTTGTCAGGGACGTTCCAATGGCAAATTGACGGGTTTTCTGAGTTGACAGAGGCGTCGGTCTATTCAAACACCTTCCTGGTTGGGGGCTACAGCTGGTGTGTGCTTGTATTCAAACACCTTCCTTCAGGTTGTTTATAGAAGGATACAGCCTGGAATGAGGTTCTCACTCCTTGGCACAACCTCTTAAACCTCTCAGTGTTTCCTTGCCTTCGCATTCCTCCTCCTCATGCAAGTCCTATTGTTTGTTTCCTCACATGGAAATTCGTTTAAAGATCGTCCCTTGTTCCCAACTTGTGTGTGGAATTCTTGTTTCCACCTGCCATCTCTTTCCCTTTTCCATTCATCTTCTTCCTCTCTTCATTCAACTATCATCAAATTTTTCCAACTTGAATTCCGAATTTCCGCCTCTTTCCTTCTCAAAGTGGATGTTGAGATTGTGATCTCCCTGTCCCCTGCACTTTCAGTTAGCCCATGGGTTCGTAAATCCGCGTTCCTGCCCCCTGCACCTTTTTATTTGAGGACATCAAAATTTATTCGATTCCACTGCCTGGGCCTGCACCACTTCATAGGATCTCTTATTCATTCCTCTCCTTCCCACACACCTCTTTCCCTTCATCAACAAAATGTTTGTACATGTTTCTTTCTCAATAACGACCCTCCATCCTTTGTATAGGCAACTGTTGGTGTACACGTCAGAGAACTTGTCGTTGTATCTTGTCGTGGCAAACGCTGCGACGCTGCCGCCCGGTTGGACCAAGCGCATGGACTTTGTGTTGACTGTGGTCAACCAGTTTGACCGGACGAAGTCAGTGAAGAATGGTATGAGTGAAAATGAGCAATGCAAGCAGAATCAACACAACGCCCAACCACTCTTGTTTTGGACCTAAGAATGAACCTGCTCGACCAGAGTCGTGTCGGGCCATTGGAGGTTCGACACGGCTTAACCCAATAAGTCGAACCCTACAACCTGAAGTTAACTACAAACAGACAAACGGTGCTAAGCTATGTCCCTCAACATCGACTTAAATGCAAGCTTAACATAAGTTGACTTGCTGTTCTATGTTCGAGTGAAAAGTAGATTGGATTGCCATACGGGTGTGAACTTAGGAGGGAGTATGACGAGTCTTTGCAATGGGAATACGTCTATCAGGATGATTTGAGGTGCCTATAAAAGCATCTAACTTCGCGTGGATTATGTCCGGACAATCTTTCACAAGCCTCCTCCCTCTGCCTTTCCATCTTCTCAATTTGCTTGATTCTCAGAAACGAGCAACCTGTTGTTCAGTCCTCGCGCGCCCAACTGGGGCTGGCCTTCCATGATGCCTCTCAAGGACCTTAACGACCTCTCTAAAGGCTTCCTCGTTAACGACAGCGTGATTTTCGAGGCCGAGGTGAAAGTGTGTGATAAATCAAAGACTCAGACCGGATACGTGGGGCTTAATAATAACCAAGGGGGGCTGTGCTGCATGGCCCCGTTGATACAGATGCTGTTCCACATCCCCTTTTTCCGGAAAGCCGTGTATCGGTTTTCTGCTTCTGAGAGCGACCTTTCTGCTGGCAGCATTCTCTTAGCGCTTCAAAGCATATTCTACAGGCTCCAGTTCACCGATTCTAGTGTTTCGACCAAGAACTTAACTAAGAGGGTTGAGTGGGAGGATGGAGATTTGTCAATGAAGCATGACCCGAGTGAGGTGTACCGGATGTTGCGTATGAAACTGGAGGGGGAGATGAAGGACTCATCTGTGGAGGGCACGATGGAGAAGCTGTTTGGTGGTCATCTCATGAACTACGTTGAGTGCATCAACGTAGACCACAAGTCCTCCTGGAAGCAAGCATTTGATGGTGAGTGGTGGTGAGCATGAGCGTTATTCCTTGTGCTTTTTGAAGCTGGTCGCTCGCTACAACTCATGCTTTTGGTTGTGTCCTTCTAAGTCTATAATTTGGTTTCTGGTCATGTTATGCTGTGCAGGCTTGCTGCTGGATGTGAAGGGTTGCAAGGACGTGTATGCGAGCTTGGACAAATATGTGGAGATGCAGAAGCTTGATGGCAACACCAAGTTCTATGCGGAACAACATGGGGTGCAGGTGAGTGTTTGTTGCATGATGGGGGATAAAACTATGTTTGGCTTGGCAGTCATGAATTAGCGAAAGCATGCAGATAGGCTTTCTGAATTTTATCTCTAGGGGCCATACAGCCAGCAATGCAGGAACTGTGAGAGAGCTGTGCTTATGCTGTTTGAAAGCGGTACAGGCTGAGTTGAAATGGTCCGAATTTCATCTATTCTCATCTGAAATGGCCAGGTAATGTTTTCGTGGGCCACAAAATCAATGATGTGTCACACATCTCCGGATCTTATCCATTTTCAGAAACTCGGGTTTTTTTATTTCCTTTAGAGAAGCGATGGGGGATGTGGTAGTTTTGATTACCCTACCCCCACCACAGTTTTGTTTACCGTCTCCCTGTTGTGTTGCCTCTTTGTCGTCCGCACGTCTTCTCTCTTGTTGACTGTGTTTCGCCCTAGTTGCTTCCTCGACTCACGAATCATAATGACAAGGCACCACAACAACACCTCCCTGCTCTCCATATCTTCATTCTTGTGCTTCCCCTCTCCTGTGTTGCTGTGGTCGTATGCCCCGTCTATAATGGCAGGACGCCAAGAAAGGTGTGCTTTTTGTGGACCTTCCACTGGTGCTGCAACTACATTTGAAGCGGTTCGAGTGCAATCTAGTGGACGGGAAAACAGCGAAGGTATTAAGTCATGACACATCACGGGTGGAAAGAAAGAATGTGCTGTACAAATTCTACATGCCAAACTAGTGCTCTCTGACTACTACAGAGTTTTCTGCCAGCTGTATCCCTATTCGGTTATCAAGCAAGTGTACTATCTTATGTTTCTTTGCATTGCCGGCTAGCTAGAGGGTTTGCAGAACTCTCTCTGGATGCCTGCAGGCTGTTCATAGTTTCCGCCCCATGCCCACCCTCCACTCTTGCGTCCCGTTGGGTCCATCCCCTCCTTCTCGTGCGCAGATTTCATATGGAGCTGGATCGGTGGACATTTCGCTTCGTTTGTTCCATTCTTTCTTCTGCCCGGTTCATCCTCACCCCCCCCCCCCCCTCCCCCCCCCCCCCCCCCCGCACTCCCACGTGCATGTCCACTTGCACGTGCACTCCAGGTCAAGGACCGATGTGAGTTCCCTATGAAGCTCGACTTGGACAAGGACAGTGGCAAGTACCTCACCACGGACTTGGACAGGACTGGCCGCAATCTTTACCTGTTGCACAGGTGCGACAAGGCTTGAGCTCTGGCAGTCCATCCGGCACTCCCATCCACCCTACGTGCACTCCAGGTCAATGACTGGTTTGAATTTCCTCTGGAGCTCGACTTGGACAAGGAAAGTGGCAAGTACCTCACTCCGGACTTGGACAGGACTGGCTGCAATCGTTACCTGTTGCACAGGTGTGGCAAGGGAAGGCTTTCTTTTTGGTAAAAACTACGTAGGTTTTCACGGCATGAGCCTCGATTGAGTCGACAACCTGGTTCTATAGAGGGCAGACACCCACACACACCCCCACGCACGCACTATTATTACTATTATTACTCACCGTGCTTCACTGAAGTCTTAACTTTTGTACCTTAGCCCAGGTTTAGGTAATTTTAGGTGTATGGATTATTTTTCTTCTTCTAATTCTTCTTTTCTTTCTTTTTTTCAAACCGAAATTTCTTATGTGGCGAGGTTCACATAGAGGTTGTCCTTGTGATAGAAGGAGTTGGATTTGTGCATCAGTTACCCGCTTCCTTTTTCAAGCGAAACATTTGAAGCACCTAACCACAAATCTACATCGTAGCTCGACCGACTTCACGTGTGTCTCATCCTTACCATGCCCGTGATGATGCTGCATCCCGCCCACCCTTTTTCATGCACGCAGTGTTCTGGTTCACACCGATGGAGTTCATGGCAGCCATTGCTACGCCTTGATTCGCCCGAACCTTGGATCCCAATGGTATGCTACCCGTGCTTCCCTGTTTTGTTTGCCTCTCCTCCCTATTCATCGCCCCACATTTCCGTTTGGCTAACGTTCTTGCCAAATGGGAGGTTTTGTTAGAATGTGCAGTACGCACATATTCCTGCAGGCTGCAGGATTTTTTCCTAGTTGTTATCCACTCTCCCCGACATACACCACTCTCTTCCCAATCAATCAGGCTCAAGTTTGAAAATGAAGAAGTGACGAAGGAGGAATTCAAGGGCGACGATGAGGTACGCTTAGAATGCTTAACAGCAGTATCATGTGCTTCGATCTTGACCCTTTCCATGCAAGATAAGCAGAAGATGATTAAGTTGGGTTAATTCTGCTCCATTCTTCCCTTTCCTACCGTTTGTCTCTCCTTCTGGCCTCACCCGCATGCGGCAAACCCTCCAAATCCATTTAGCTCTACTCCAACGCCTACATGCTAGTCTACATCCGGCAATCCGACCAGGAGAAGATTCTTTGCAGCAAGGATGTGAATGGCATTGCACAACGGTTGCAAGTAGGTGGTGTCTCACACCTTGTCCCTCGTGTGCATTCCAGTTTTGTTATGCTATTTTGGTATTTTCCTCGCCTTATTCCCTCGTTCCCCTCTGCTGACACGTGGCACAGGCAGCCATGCTGTTACCGGGCTCTTCCTTGCGGTGGGGGCACTCATGGGAGCTGTGAGAGTGAGGGACGCCAGAGGGGCTGGTAGTGGTGGGTGTGTTGCCAATGACAGCTGCAGCATGGGAATCAGCCGCAGCAGTGGGGATGGCGGCATTGGTAGAAGCAGCAGCAGCAGTAGCATCGTCGCCAATGCCAACATCATCTTGAGCCATCTCAGAGGACTGAGCCCCATCGCCAGTACCACTGGAACCCCCTCCCACCCCTTCTTCCCTGCATGCCTCCTCACCCCTCTTCCCTTCACCGGTTGCTGTCTCTACTCCTGTCCCCATTCCCGGCCCCTCGCATGTTCTGAGGCGCTTGGCAGGAGTGGTGCCTGAGAGGGGAGGAGCGAGGAAGCTTTGCCAGTCGGAGCAGAGGTTGGTTGTGATGAGACTCCTGATGGGGGCACGCGGTGAGGGATGAGAGATGAGAGGTGAGCAGTGCGAGGATAGTGCAAGGGGGAGAAACAGCAGGGTGATGGGAGGGGGATGAGAGGTGCGAAGTGCGAGGAAAGTGCAAGGGTTTCCTCCAAACCACCACATAGCTAGTTGGCCACTCAGTGCCTCCTCCTTTCCCCAACGGTATCTCCTCTCATCTCCCCCTCGTTCCCCCAGCTCCCGCCTGTTCCTCTCTTGTAGTCCGCGAGATCCAGGTGCATGCTACAAACCCCCTCCCTGGCCTCTCAAGATGGTTCCAAACACTCCCAGGTGCATGCTTGAAACCCCTTCCCCTGCCCCCTCTGAATGGTCCCAAACCCCCCCGCCTCCCGCCCCATCTCTAGAAGGAGAAGGAAACTCCCCCACCCCCTCATTCCCCATTCTTCCTTCTCTTCTCCAGCTCCTTCCCCTCTACCTTCCTCACTTGTGAGTCCGTGGTGGTGCAAGTTGGATATCCCCTTCCCAGCATCGTCTGAGTATTCTCACCCTTCTACCCCCCCTCCCCTTTTCCTCCCTTGTAATACGTGAGGCCCAGGTGCAGACACACACGCGGGGTGCCCTGCACTGTGCACCTCGCTGCACTGCTTCTGACACATCAGTCGCTTCTGATCTGATGCCGCAACAGCAGTAGCAGCAGAGGGAGAAGCGGCAGAGGGACACACGGGCACACATGCACACATCTTGCGTACTCACTTGTAGTCTGTGAGGCCCAGGTGCGGGCACACACGTGGGCATGGGCTTACCTGCACACCGCACCCTGCCGCTTCTAGGCCTTGAGGCGCTTCTGATGGCGTGGCAGCTGGAGAGGCACACGTCAGCAAACCACAGGCAGATGCTGAGTACTCACTTGTAGTCTGTGAGGCCCAGGTGCAGACACACACGCGCGCTGCCCTTTGCACCTCGCCCTGCTGCTTCTGACCTTTCTGGCCCTTGAGACGCTTCTGGTACTGCAGCAGCAGAGGGGGAGGCGGTGGAGGATGGAGGATGCAGCGAGAATCCACCGTACTGATGGGTGCATGGGGTCGTGGATGGGGGCGTGAGGGGTGGGGTGGGGGGGGGAAGGTGGGTGGGGGGGAGGGGCGGAGAGGGGGAACCTTTGAATGGACTCGAAAGTCAGCGAGTGTTGAGGATTGGTGGGGGCGATGAGAACTCGCCATACTGAGAGGTGCGTGGTGGCCGAGTGGGTGAGCAGGGGTGGAGAGGTGCGATGGGATGGGGAGGGTTTTGAAGTTTGCGAGTAGTGCATGGTGTCTAATGCCAGGGAAAGCACAGGGAATGATGACAAGAGCAAAGGGCGAAAGCTGAGAAGCACAAGAGCATGGATGACACTAGAAGGAATGATGCCATGAGCACCTCACTTTGAGGACTCAAGGATGACGAGGTTCCAACAAGGACCACAAAAACCACTCACTTGGAACTTGGATTGGATCCATTGCACAGCGATGGCTGAGATGCCTACGAACAGAATACAGTCTACAGTGATGGCTATGAGTTGCCTCACAAGTCACTGAAAAGAGTTGTCAGCTCACAAGTCAATGAAAAGAGTTGTCAAATCACAAGTCACTCACTCTGATCTTGAATCCACTGTACAGTAATGGGTGTGATGGTTACACACAGACTACTGTCTGTGGACTCAAGGGCTACTAGATAGAGTAAATTCACAATTCACTCACTCTGAACTTGGATCCATTGTACAGTGATGGCTGATGTGCCTTGCGCCTCTGCCACTCCTGCCATCAGCACGGGAGTGGGAAGATGGGGGGCGGGAAGTGGGAGGATGGGATGGGGGGGCGGGTGAAGAGTCTACATGTGAGAGCATGCGAAGGCGCTGAGTGTATGAATATGGGTGACAGCATTGTGTGGGTATTGGGGAAAGGGTACGCCACCACGCCCCACCACTTACCGTGTGCATCCTTCTCCCAAGTGCGCTGCTGGGTGGGGCTTTCTGTTGAAGCCGAGTATTTTGAGTAAAATACCCCCCACCACATCCCACCCATCCACACCACTCACCGTGTGCATCATCCTCTCAAGTGCGCCATTCGGGTGGGGCCTGCGGTTGAAGCGCGAGGAGAAATGCACCACCAGCTGGCAGCGGCGGGGGTGGGAGGTACGAAAGAAAGTAGGAAACAGGAAAGGCAGCAATCGGGAGGGACAGCAAATGGGAAAATCAGCGAACGCGAAAGGCAGCAGTGGGGAGAATTAGGGACGACATGTGCACTGGGAGCGGTGGGGGTGGGAGGTGGGGCGAAAGGATAACGGGTTTGAAGGGATAGACGGGTGGTGACAGTGGGATGTGCGGGATTGGGATGGGAGAAATGATGCTGGCAATTGAAGTGCGAGGAAAAGGTTATGATCAGCTGGCATGGGTGGACAAAGGAAGGGTCCACGGGTGGGGTAGGGGAAACACCTACGGTATGGCGGTCATGGGTTTTGGGAGATGGGATGGGATGGGATGGGATGGGATGGGATGGGATGGGATGGGATGGGATAAGATGGTTTGGTTGGGATGGGTTGGGATGGGATGGGATGGGATGGGATGGGATGGGATGGGATGGGATGGGATGGGATGGGATGGGATGGGATGGGATGGGATGGGATGGGATGGGATGGGATGGGATGGGATGGGATGGGATAAGATGGGTTGGGATGGGATGGGATGGGATGGGATGGGATGGGATGGGATGGGATGGGATGGGATGGGATGGGATGGGATGGGATGGGATGGGATGGGATGGGATGGGATAAGATGGTTTGGGATGGGATGGGATAAGATGGGTTGGGATGGGATGGGATGGGATGGGATGGGATGGGATGGGATGGGATGGGATGGGATGGGATGGGATGGGATGGGATGGGATGGGATGGGATAAGATGGTTTGGGATGGGATGGGATGGGATGGGATGGGATGGGATGGGATAAGATGGGTTGGGATGGGTTGGGATGGGATGGGTTGGGAAGGGACGGGATGGGATGGGTTGGGAAGGGACGGGATGGGATGGGATGGGATGGGATGGGATGGGATGGGATGGGATGGGATGGGATGGGATGGGATGGGATGGGATGGGATGGGATGGGATAAGATGGTTTGGGATGGGATGGGATGGGATGGGATGGGATGGGATGGGATGGGATGGGATGGGATAAGATGGTTTGGGATGGGATGGGATGGGATGGGATGGGATGGGATGGGTTGGGATGGGATGGGATGGGACAGAAAGGAGGGCAGAACCAATGATTTGTGAAGGTGCAACGAGGAGGAAGGAGCGGAAACATCCTGTACGGAGCATAGAATTTGCGCTGCTAGTCCTGAATGAACCATCCACCCACCTCCTGCCGCCCACCCACCTCCTGCCGCCCACCCACCTCCTGCCACCCACCGACCTCCTGCCACCCACCCACCTCCTGCCGCCCACCCACCCACCTCCTGCCACCCACCCACCTCCTGCGGCCCACCCACCCACCTCCTGCCACCCACCCACCTCCTGCCGCCCACCCACCCACCCACCTCCTGCCGCCCACCCACCTCCTGCCGCCCACCCACCCACCTCCTGCCGCCCACCCACCTCCTGCCGCCCACCCACCTCCTGCCGCTCTCCGGGAGGGGCACAGTTGAGGAGAATGAGGAAGGCCGACGAGCCCACCTGTGCACTCGCTGCCTCCTCCGCCTCCTCCGCCGCCTCCGCCCATGCACCTGCCTCTCTCTTGTCCACCCTCTTCCCCGCCACCCACCTGTTTTTCAGGAACGCCAGGTGAGGCGCAGTTGAGGAGGATGAGGAAGACAGACGGGTCCACCTGCCGCCTCGCCTCCTCCTCCACCTGCTGCAGGGATCGCTCCCCTCTCTGCCCAGGTTCCCCCTGTTGCTGCTCCTGAAGCGACGGCCTCCCCCCGTCCACTGAGGAACCAGCCAGCCGTTCCTGTTGGTTTAGCTCCATGGCTGGCAGGGCGTGAGAGCAATGAGCTGTGCTGCGCTGCTGTGCTGTGCTGTGCTGCTGTGCTGTGCTGTGCTGCTGTGCTGTGCTGTGCTGCTGTGCTGTGCTGTGCTGCTGTGCTGTGCTGTGCTGAGCTGTGCTGTGCTGTGCTGTGCTGGCGTGAGGGCGCGTACGAGAGAGGGAGGGGAGAGGAGGTGGTTGGGAGCGGTTGGGAGGATGCATGGAAAAAGTAGCGATGGGCAATGACTGATGATGTGATGATGATGTGACGATGATGTGATGATGATGTGATGATGATGTGATGATGATGTGATGATGTGATGATGATGTGATGATGATGTGATGATGTGATGATGTGCTGAGGAGGGAGGGGTAACTCCGTGTGTGACCTTTTCGCGCCCTCACCAACCCCTTTCCACCTCTTTCCATACCTCCTAGCCCCTTCGCACATACAAGCCCACGCGCAACGCACTCCCGCCCTCTCCCCACCCCTCTTCCTCCCTCCCACCTCCCCCCACACACCACCTACCCACTCACCTTAATCCCTGTTTCCTGTGCCTTCAACCTCGCCAGTCACCACCTGCGCGGGACAGCAGGCGCGCGGACGGGTTGACGGACGTGCGGGGAAGCGGAAGAGCAGGCGGAGCCGAGGGTTATGAGGAAGTGAAAGGAGGGAGGAAGGAACGAGACGCGCGGGCGGGTTGACGGATGTGGAGGAAAGCGGAGGGTCAGGCGCGGCTGCGGGGACGGCGTTCAAAAGAAGGGGGGCAGGAGGCGCGACACGAGGGAGAGCGAGGGGAATGCGGCGCGGGGGGGACGAGGGGCGCGAGGATTGGGAGACCGACGACACAGGCGCAAGGGCGAGCGGAACGGCCGCGGAAACAAGTATCGTTACCGCAAAACCCGGCTACTGTCTGGAACGACAATCTAAAAATCACTGGATGTGGTGTACGCGGTACAATCTCTGGCCAGACTTCGATTTTGATTTTGAAGTATCTCTCGCCCGATGCATCGGGCACATGTGGTCTCACTGGGCACATTCGCTTGGTATAGTATAGATTCGTTACGGTTATTGGTTAATTATAGCATGCTAAACAACTAAAGTTCATATGAGAATACCTAAGCATCACATTAGTAGCATGATGAGTTACACCTAAACCACCAATACAAACAGAACAAGCAGCACAAGTAGAAATATACTGGTTATACTCCTGCCGTTGGTGACTGTTGCGCCTGCGAAAAAGAATCACAGTAGAGAGATCACTTCAAATAACAATGCTGCCAAAGGTTTGTGAGGCGCAAGATGAGACGTGGAATTTCAAATAACGCGGCTCCAAACACGAGTGCTCCAATCCAAATCAAACATACCCTTTGCCTCTGGTGTCGACAGTGGTTCGCCTGTACATAAAGTCGAAGGTGAGAGAGATAGAAACATGGGTGTTCATTAATGCTTGTCCCTTGAGTGGCAAGATTCAATCAAAGGGCTGCATGGACCTGGTTTGTGGGGCATGGCAAGCCCACCAAGGTCCATGCAGCCATAACAAACCGATTCATGGACTCTCATCTCCTATCATCTTCGCTCTCTCCTCTGCTTTTCCTTTCCCTTCTCCACGCCAGGAAAACACGTTTTCTTTCATTTTCTCAGAAAAGGAGCACCCAGGTTGCACACATACCTTGTGAGCCTTGACTCGGAGTCGATGGGCGCACACTCTCTGCAGGAGGGAGTAGGGATAAACCAGTTTGAGAGAAAGCAGAGGATGGGATGACGTGGAGTGGTGGGGGACGCAGAGACATGTGTGGAAGAAATGCGAAGAGGGTTATGGTAGATTGTACTGTTAACATGTTACAAGATGCTGTAGTCGAATCACAGGGTGTCATAGCGTGCTGTAGGCAAATCACAGGGTGTCATAGCGTGCTATAGGCGAATCACAGGGTGTCATAGCGTGCTGTAGGCAAATCACAGGGTGTCATAGCGTGCTGTAGGCAAATCACAGGGTGTCATAGCGTGCTGTAGGCAAATCACAGGGTGTCATAGCGTGCTGTAGGCGAATCACAGGGTGTCATAGCGTGCTGTAGGCGAATCACAGGGTGTCATAGCGTGCTGTAGGCAAATCACAGGGTGTCATAGCGTGCTGTAGGCAAATCACAGGGTGTCATAGCGTGCTATAGGCGAATCACAGGGTGTCATAGCGTGCTATAGGCGAATCACAGGGTGTCATAGCGTGCTGTAGGCAAATCACAGGGTGTCATAGCGTGCTGTAGGCAAATCACAGGGTGTCATAGCGTGCTGTAGGCAAATCACAGGGTGTCATAGCGTGCTGTAGGCAAATCACAGGGTGTCATAGCGTGCTGTAGGCAAATCACAGGGTGTCATAGCGTGCTGTAGGCAAATCACAGGGTGTCATAGCGTGCTGTAGGCAAATCACAGGGTGTCATAGCGTGCTGTAGGCAAATCACAGGGTGTCATAGCGTGCTGTAGGCAAATCACAGGGTGTCATAGCGTGCTGTAGGCAAATCACAGGGTGTCATAGCGTGCTGTAGGCAAATCACAGGGTGTCATAGCGTGCTATAGGCAAATCACAGGGTGTCATAGCGTGCTGTAGGCAAATCACAGGGTGTCATAGCGTGCTGTAGGCAAATCACAGGGTGTCATAGCGTGCTGTAGGCAAATCACAGGGTGTCATAGCGTGCTGTAGGCAAATCACAGGGTGTCATAGCGTGCTGTAGGCAAATCACAGGGTGTCATAGCGTGCTGTAGGCAAATCACAGGGTGTCATAGCGTGCTGTAGGCAAATCACAGGGTGTCATAGCGTGCTGTAGGCAAATCACAGGGTGTCATAGCGTGCTATAGGCAAATCACAGGGTGTCATAGCGTGGTATAGGCAAATCACAGGGTGTCATAGCGTGCTGTAGACAAATCACAGGGTGTCATAGCGTGCTGTAGGCAAATCACAGGGTGTCATAGCGTGCTGTAGGCAAATCACAGGGTGTCATAGCGTGCTGTAGGCAAATCACAGGGTGTCATAGCGTGCTGTAGGCAAATCACAGGGTGTCATAGCGTGCTGTAGGCAAATCACAGGTTGTCATAGCGTGCTGTAGGCAAATCACAGGGTGTCATAGCGTGCTGTAGGCAAATCACAGGGTGTCATAGCGTGCTGTAGGCAAATCACAGGGTGTCATAGCGTGCTGTAGGCAAATCACAGGGTGTCATAGCGTGCTATGGGCAAATCACAGGGTGTCATAGCGTGCTATGGGCAAATCACAGGGTGTCATAGCGTGCTATGGGCAAATCACAGGGTGTCATAGCGTGCTATAGGCAAATCACAGGGTGTCATAGCGTGCTATAGGAAATCACAGGGTGTCATAGCGTGCTATAGGCAAATCATAGGGTGTCATAGCGTGCTATAGGCAAATCACAGGGTGTCATAGCGTGCTATAGGCGAATCACAGGGTGTCATAGCGTGCTATGGGCGAATCACAGGGTGTCATAGCGTGCTATGGGCGAATCACAGGGTGTCATAGCGTGCTATGGGCGAATCACAGGGTGTCATAGCGTGCTATAGGCGAATCACAGGGTGTCATAGCGTGCTATAGGCGAATCACAGGGTGTCATAGCGTGCTATAGGCGAATCACAGGGTGTCATAGCGTGCTATAGGCGAATCACAGGGTGTCATAGCGTGCTATAGGCGAATCACAGGGTGTCATAGCGTGCTGTAGGCGAATCACAGGGTGTCATAGCGTGCTATAGGCGAATCACAGGGTGTCATAGCGTGCTGTAGGCGAATCACAGGGTGCCATAGCGTGCTATAGGCGAATCACAGGGTGTCATAGCGTGCTATAGGCGAATCACAGGGTGTCATAGCGTGCTATAGGCGAATCACAGGGTGTCATAGCGTGCTATAGGCGAATCACAGGGTGTCATAGCGTGCTATAGGCGAATCACAGGGTGTCATAGCGTGCTATAGGCGAATCACAGGGTGTCATAGCGTGCTGTAGGCAAATCACAGGGTGTCATAGCGTGCTGTAGGCAAATCACAGGGTGTCATAGCGTGCTGTAGGCAAATCACAGGGTGTCATAGCGTGCTGTAGGCAAATCACAGGGTGTCATAGCGTGCTGTAGGCAAATCACAGGGTGTCATAGCGTGCTGTAGGCAAATCACAGGGTGTCATAGCGTGCTGTAGGCAAATCACAGGGTGTCATAGCGTGCTGTAGGCAAATCACAGGGTGTCATAGCGTGCTGTAGGCAAATCACAGGGTGTCATAGCGTGCTGTAGGCAAATCACAGGGTGTCATAGCGTGCTGTAGGCAAATCACAGGGTGTCATAGCGTGCTATAGGCAAATCACAGGGTGTCATAGCGTGCTGTAGGCAAATCACAGGGTGTCATAGCGTGCTGTAGGCAAATCACAGGGTGTCATAGCGTGCTGTAGGCAAATCACAGGGTGTCATAGCGTGCTGTAGGCAAATCACAGGGTGTCATAGCGTGCTATAGGCAAATCACAGGGTGTCATAGCGTGGTATAGGCAAATCACAGGGTGTCATAGCGTGCTGTAGGCAAATCACAGGGTGTCATAGCGTGCTGTAGGCAAATCACAGGGTGTCATAGCGTGCTATAGGCAAATCACAGGGTGTCATAGCGTGGTATAGGCAAATCACAGGGTGTCATAGCGTGCTGTAGGCAAATCACAGGGTGTCATAGCGTGCTGTAGGCAAATCACAGGGTGTCATAGCGTGCTGTAGGCAAATCACAGGGTGTCATAGCGTGCTGTAGGCAAATCACAGGGTGTCATAGCGTGCTGTAGGCAAATCACAGGGTGTCATAGCGTGCTGTAGGCAAATCACAGGGTGTCATAGCGTGCTGTAGGCAAATCACAGGGTGTCATAGCGTGCTGTAGGCAAATCACAGGGTGTCATAGCGTGCTGTAGGCAAATCACAGGGTGTCATAGCGTGCTGTAGGCAAATCACAGGGTGTCATAGCGTGCTATGGGCAAATCACAGGGTGTCATAGCGTGCTATGGGCAAATCACAGGGTGTCATAGCGTGCTATGGGCAAATCACAGGGTGTCATAGCGTGCTATAGGCAAATCACAGGGTGTCATAGCGTGCTATAGGAAATCACAGGGTGTCATAGCGTGCTATAGGCAAATCATAGGGTGTCATAGCGTGCTATAGGCAAATCACAGGGTGTCATAGCGTGCTAGAGGCAAATCACAGGGTGTCATAGCGTGCTATGGGCGAATCACAGGGTGTCATAGCGTGCTATGGGCGAATCACAGGGTGTCATAGCGTGCTATGGGCGAATCACAGGGTGTCATAGCGTGCTATAGGCGAATCACAGGGTGTCATAGCGTGCTATAGGCGAATCACAGGGTGTCATAGCGTGCTATAGGCGAATCACAGGGTGTCATAGCGTGCTATAGGCGAATCACAGGGTGTCATAGCGTGCTATAGGCGAATCACAGGGTGTCATAGCGTGCTGTAGGCGAATCACAGGGTGTCATAGCGTGCTATAGGCGAATCACAGGGTGTCATAGCGTGCTGTAGGCGAATCACAGGGTGCCATAGCGTGCTATAGGCGAATCACAGGGTGTCATAGCGTGCTATAGGCGAATCACAGGGTGTCATAGCGTGCTATAGGCGAATCAGAGGGTGTCATAGCGTGCTATAGGCGAATCACAGGGTGTCATAGCGTGCTATAGGCGAATCACAGGGTGTCATAGCGTGCTATAGGCGAATCACAGGGTGTCATAGCGTGCTATCGGCGAATCACAGGGTGTCATAGCGTGCTATAGGCAAATCACAGGGTGTCATAGCGTGCTATAGGCGAATCACAGGGTGTCATAGCGTGCTATCGGCGAATCACAGGGTGTCATAGCGTGCTGTAGGCAAATCACAGGGTGTCATAGCGTGCTATAGGCGAATCACAGGGTGTCATAGCGTGCTATAGGCGAATCACAGGGTGTCATAGCGTGCTATAGGCGAATCACAGGGTGTCATAGCGTGCTATAGGCGAATCACAGGGTGTCATAGCGTGCTATAGGCGAATCACAGGGTGTCATAGCGTGCTATAGGCGAATCACAGGCTGTCATAGCGTGCTATAGGCGAATCACAGGGTGTCATAGTGTGCTATAAGTGCGTCACAGAGAGGTGCAACTGCTCGTTCTCACCTGCCCCACGTCCCTTCTCACCCACCCCATGCCCCCTCTTACCTGGCCCATGGCCACGGCTGGGTGCTGTGGTGTTGGGTGTGGCAGGTGCAGGTTTACCCTCTGAAACGATGGGAATATGCGGATAGGGAGGAGGAAGATGGGGGAACCGACGTGGGGAGGCGGGAGGAGGTGGCGGGGTGGTGGTGGATGTGGGGGAAAGGAGGAATGGACAGAGGAGGGAAGGAAAATGATTGCGCAGGAAGAGAGGGGGACTACAACGAAAAGGAGGCAGCATGCCAAGAAAAGTACCACTCAAGGAAACCACTAAGACTGGAGCGAGCGAACTAAGCCATGCTTTCCCAGCCCAGTGCGTGGCGGTGGTGGTAACTGCTCAGTGTATGGAGATGGGAAACCATGAAGAACATGGAGCCACACTCATGAGTTGTGGTACAAAGAGACAGGGTAGGGGAGGGGGGTAACAGGAAGGAACTCCAAGACAGGAGGGATGGAGAAAGCAGCAAAGCAGAAGAGAAAGTAAGCACCTTGCGGAAGTGATGTTCGGAAAAGCTCCTGGCCGGTAGAGCCTGTCGGTGTGGGTTGAAAGAAAACAGGAAAAAGAGGGAACCAGACAGAGAGAATGAAAAGGGCACATTTCCCAATGCAAAGACAGCAATAGCTGACTGAAAAGGCTTCGCAACGACTTGGCTCAAAGAGATCGACCCATTGCCATAGGCCATGGCTCATGCGTAACACAGAGGGGGTGGCATGTCTGACAACTGAAAGGGTGGCAGCCGAACAGCCCTCGCTCTTTCTGAGGCGCCTCAAATGTACCACCATGTCATGTGCGCCTCAAATGTACCACCATGTCATGTGCGCCTCAAATGTACCACCATGTCATGTGCGCCTCAAATGTACCACCATGTCATGTGCGCCTCAAATGTACCACCATGTCATGTGCGCCTCAAATGTACCACCATGTCATGTGCGCCTCAAATGTACCACCATGTCATGTGCGCCTCAAATGTACCACCATGTCATGTGCGCCTCAAATATACCACCATGTCATGTGCGCCTCAAATGTACCACCATGTCATGTGCGCCTCAAATGTACCACCATGTCATGTGCGCCTCAAATGTACCACCATGTCATGTGCGCCTCAAATGTACCACCATGTCATGTGCGCCTCAAATGTACCACCATGTCATGTGCGCCTCAAATGTACCACCATGTCATGTGCGCCTCAAATGTACCACCATGTCATGTGCGCCTCAAATGTACCACCATGTCATGTGCGCCTCAAATGTACCACCATGTCATGTGCGCCTCAAATGTACCACCATGTCATGTGCGCCTCAAATGTACCACCATGTCATGTGCGCCTCAAATGTACCACCATGTCATGTGCGCCTCAAATGTACCACCATGTCATGTGCGCCTCAAATGTACCACCATGTCATGTGGCCTGATCTACAATGAACAGAGCTTGCTGCAATTTGAACCCTCAAACACCTTAAGAGTGAGAAGGTAGCATGACGTACAGTTGAGGGGATGCCAGCCGAACAGCCCTCTCTCCTCGTCCATGAGGATGTAAAAGTTCTGCAGCCACGACTCTGAGGGTGATGTGAGGGTGGGGGGTGGCGGGTGAATGTAGAGGCAATAGGAAAAGAGGAAAGTAGCATGAGTATAATGGTGGGGGATGAAGCCACATAAGGCAGAGTTCTCTATCATGACAATATATGTGATGTGGAGCAGAGAGGGATCGGCGGCGGGCGCATGAGGAAACAAGGTACTGTGCGCAGCTCAAAGCGTCCTCTCATGAAAACCTGTAAGCGGTGGGCGCACTTGAACACAAGGTACAGTGCAGTGGGAAAGGACAGACTGAGTAGCAGCCTTTAGTGACTGGCAGTGAATCGCAGAGTGCGTACCTCCAATGATGGCGGACACACGCGAGGAGGAGATGGGGAGAGCCGCAAGGCACAACAGTGCCATGCCGGTGCGCTCCATGTAGCCCTGCGGAGGGGAGAATGGGGCGATGGAAAAAGGGGAAACCGGGGGGGGGGGGGGAGAGGAGAGACAAGGGAAAGGGGGCGAGGTGGATAAAAAGAAGAGAGGAGGAGAAGGGGGTGAGAGAGACAAGGAAAAGGGGGAGAGAGAAGGAGATAGAACGGGTTAGGCAAGCATTGTGGAGGCCTGCTGGTCGATGGGGCAGCGTGGATGGGGGAATGAATGGGTAGATAGTAAGGGGCAAGCGGTTGAGGGAGCTTAGCTGCTGAGCAGTTGGAAAAAAATGACACTTACACACACTTCTTTTGCCCCATTTTGGGTGTAGCTTGACCTTTCTATGAACAAAAATATGGACGGAAAGGACTCACGCCAAGGAAGAGGTAGTTGGTGGGTGGAACAGCCCAAGTCGTGTTGCCGAAGCTGATTAAGAGGCTTGGAAAGACTGAATCAAAGAGGGTGGAGTTGCTGGCAGGTTCGGACGAAACGAAAGAAATGGGAGAGGAGGGGAAGTGGGGAGGATAAGGCAGTTGTCAAGAATCATACTGAGAATTGTTGCACATGAAACCATAGAAACAGGTGCTAGACGGAAAAATACTCAATACTTCGTACTTTCACAAATGCTACGTGAGTGGTGTGCGGGCACCTGGGAAAGAGGGTGCAATCCCCGAGGGTGGGATCGGCGAAGGCAGAAAGAAGCGGGTCGGAGAACACCTGCATGCATGCGATACCACAACAAGAGACACCAAGCCACGGTGGCAAGCACGGTGAATCACAGGGTGGGGAGTAAGAGGTATGAAGGGAGTGGAAAGAGGGGAGTGGGAGTGAAAGGGGGGTTGGGTGGGGGAACAAAATAGCTGCAAGGAAAGAGGGGGCGAGTTGTTAACAGGAGGCAGCGTAGTGAAGGCGGCACTGCTGAGCTGATCATACTGAAATACTTTCCCAAGCAAAGACCCCTCATTCCATCCATGCATACCACCACACCACCGTTCACCGCATTGGACCTTTCCACCTCATCACCCCACCGCATCCCACCACATCCCACCGCAGCTCACCGCATCTTTTAGCGAGGTGTAGACAGCGGGAGGCAGCGCAGTGAAGGTGGTGCCGCTGTCAATGATGACGCCGCCTGCCAGGCTGGCCGCGTCAACTGCTGACAGCGAATCAGCGCCCGTCACCTGGCGGCCTCCGATGCTCATGCCAGTGATGTTGATGTAGTGGTATGGGCTGGATTGTCACGGATGTGCGAGGGGAGGAATGGACGAGAGGGGAACGAGGGAGGAGGAGGAATGGGAAGGAGGTTGTGAAGTAAGTTTCATTAACTCTCCCCAAGCAGCGAAACTTGAGAAGTTTGTGTCTCAATGATGCAACAAGCATGTGTAGTGGAGTGAGGGATGATGATCAGGGTGACAAATAATGAGGGAAGTGAAGCTGTCGCTGCTCTGACTGACGGCACATGATCATCTGCCACGTCAACAGCACTCAGTCCTGCAACATCAGAAGCACCCTCGGTCCATCTACATGCCACAGCGCTGCTGTCTGCATCTCCTTGGGTTGCTGCGCCCGTCCAATGGCCAAGTGGCCTCCCCCTGCCTTCCCAACGTCCATGCAGAAGGGGAGTCTAGTCCCTCCCACACAATGCTACATGCAATGTCAGCAGCACTTACAGTCCGTCAACGAGCCACAGCGCCGCCGTCTGCATGTCTGCGGGTTGCTGTGACCTTCCCAAGGCCAGGTGGCCTCTGCCCGTGTCCCCCCATCCAGGCAGAAGGAGAATGCAAACGGCGTTACCGTTACCATGTCACATGCCACCAGAAGGAGAAGTCTTACTCACAGTCCATCAACGTGCCACAGCGCTGCTGTCTGCATGTCTGCGGGTTGCTCCGACCGCCCAATGGCCAGGTGGCCTCCCCCCGTGTCCCCCCCGTCCAGGCAGAAGGAGAAGGCAAACGGCATCACCGCTTCCTGCTGCCCTGCACCTGCTCCTGCTCCCGTGCCTGCTGCCTCTGGTGCTGCTGCTATTGCTGCTGAGGGCGAGAAGGAGAGTTGGCGGATGACGGAGCGAGGGCCGGAGCCAAAGCCCATGAGGCCATCCACTGAGAAGGGGCTGCTGATGAGCGTGCCTGTTTGGAGTGACGAGCAGCTGGCAAGTGAGGGGCATGGGGGAGGGGGAAGGGGAAAGAGGTGGGAGGGAAAAAGGAAAGAGCGGTAGGGTTGGGTACAAGAGGCGAAGCCCATGAGGCCGTCCACTGAGAAGGGGCTGCTGATGAGCGTGCCTGTCTGTAAGGACGAGCAACTGATATGAGGCATGGAGGTAGGGGGGGTGTAAGAGGGGTGGAGTTAGGCGAGTGAAGCCCACAAGTCCATGAGGCGTCTACTGAGCAGGGGCTGCTGATGAGAGTGCCGGTCTGCTGCAGAGAGGAGCAGCTGGATGAAAGGAGGGCAGGAGGGAGGGCGTGCGGGATGGGGAAAGAAGGGTGATGTTGGGTGCAAGAATTGGCTTCCGAGACAACTGAGACGGGGCTGTTGATAAGGATGACCTCCTACAGTGTTGGCAATTGAGAAAGTGAGGAGCATCGGGGGAGAGGGGAAGACGGTGGGCGTGAGTGAAGGGCACATGTGGGTGCAACGGAAGAGGAGGGGGGGGCGATCAATAGGGGAGTGAAGGGAGAAGATAGATACTCATGTTGCACAGCAGCACAGCACAGGGAAGGGAAGGGAGGGAGGTTGGTGGTGGAAGGGGGAGAAGGGATGACCAACCTTGCTTGCACCATGTTGCTCACTCACCCAAAATTCATGCCAAGTGACATCATGCCACGGGATGGGAATTCACTTCATGACACCATTCCATGTAACACCATTCCATGTAACACCATTCCATGTAACACCATTCCATGTAACACCATTCCATGTAACACCATTCCATGTAACACCATTCCATGTAACACCATTCCATGTAACACCATTCCATGTAACACCATTCCATGTAACACCATTCCATGTAACACCATTCCATGTAACACCATTCCATGTAACACCATTCCATGTAACACCATTCCATGTAACACCATTCCATGTAACACCATTCCATGTAACACCATTCCATGTAACACCATTCCATGTAACATCATTCCATGTAACACCATTCCATGTAACACCATTCCATGTAACACCATTCCATGTAACACCATTCCATGTAACACCATTCCATGTAACACCATTCCATGTAACACCATTCCATGTAACATCATTCCATGTAACACCATTCCATGTAACACCATTCCATGTAACACCATTCCATGTAACATCATTCCATGTAACACCATTCCATGTAACACCATTCCATGTAACACCATTCCATGTAACACCATTCCATGTAACACCATTCCATGTAACACCATTCCATGTAACACCATTCCATGTAACACCATTCCATGTAACAACCATTCCATGTAACACCATTCCATGTAACACCATTCCATGTAACACCATTCCATGTAACACCATTCCATGTAACACCATTCCATGTAACACCATTCCATGTAACACCATTCATGTAACACCATTCCATGTAACACATTCCATGTAACACCATTCCATGTAACACATTCCATGTAACACCATTCCAGTAACACCATTCCATGTAACACCATTCCATGTAACACCATTCCATGTAACACCATTCCATGTAACACCATTCCATGTAACACCATTCCATGTAAACCATTCCATGTAACACCATTCAGTAACACATTCCATGTAACACCATTCCATGTAACACCATTCCATGTAACACCATCCATGTACCACATTCCATGTAACACCATTCCATGTAACACCATTCCATGTAACACCATTCCATGTAACACCATTCATGTAACACCATTCATGTAACACCATTCCATGTAACACCATTCCATGTAACACCATTTCCATGTAACACCATTCCATGTAACACCATTCCATGTAACACCATTCCATGTAACACCATTCCATGTAACACATTCCATGTAACACCATTCCATGTAACACCATTCCATGTAACACCATTCCATGTAACACCATTCCATGTAACACCATTCCATGTAACACCATTCCATGTAACACCATTCCATGTAACACCATTCCATGTAACACCATTCCATGTAACACCATTCCATGTAACACCATTCCATGTAACACCATTCCATGTAACACCATTCCATGTAACACCATTCCATGTAACACCATTCCATGTAACACCATTCCATGTAACACCATTCCATGTAACACCATTCCATGTAACACCATTCCATGTAACACCATTCCATGTAACACCATTTCCATGTAACACCATTCCATGTAACACCATTCCATGTAACACCATTCCATGTAACACCATTCCATGTAACACCATTCCATGTAACACATTCATGTAACACCATTCCATGTAACACCATTCCATGTAACACCATTCCATGTAACACCATTCCATGTAACACCATTCCATGTACACCATTCCATGTAACACCATTCCATGTAACACCATTCATGTAAACCATTCCATGTAACACCATTCCATGTAACATCATTCCATGTAACACACCATTCCATGTGAAACCATTCCATGTATACAAACCATATCCATGTAACACCATTCCATGTAACACATTCATGTAACACCAGTCCAATGTACATCATTCCATGTAAACACCATTCATGTAACACCATTCATGTAACAACATTGCCCATGTAAACACCATCATGTAAACACCATTCATGTAACAACCATTCCATTGTGAACAACCATTCCATGTAACACCATTCCATGTAACACCATTCCATGTAACAACACCATTTCCATGTAAACACCAAATTCCATGTAACACATCATTCCATGTACACACCATTCCATGTAACACCATTCCATGTAACACCATTCCATGTAACACCAGTCCATGGTACACATGTACACCAATGTAACACCATTCATGTAAACACCATTCCATGTAACACCATTCCCATGTAAGCAACCAATTCATGGAACACCATTCCATGTAGACACCCATTCCAGGTAAAACCATTCCATGTAACACCATTCCATGTAACACCATTCCATGTAAAAAAACCATTACACCATTGTAACACCATTCCATGTAACACCATTCATGTATTCCATGTAACACCATTCCATGTAACACCATTCCATGTAACACCATTCCATGTAACACCATTCCATGTAACACCATTCATGTAACACCATTCCATGTAACACCATTCCATGTAACACCATTCCATGTAACACCATTCCATGTAACACCATTCCATGTAACACCATTCCATGTAACACCATTCCATGTAACACCATTCCATGTAACACCATTCCATGTAACACCATTCCATGTAACACCATTCCATGTAACACCATTCCATGTAACACCATTCCATGTAAACACCATTCCATGTAACACCATTCCATGTAACACCATTCCATGTAACACCAATTCCATGTAACACCATTCCATGTAACATCCATTCCATGTAACACCCATTCCATGTAACACCATTCCATGTAAACACCATTCCATGTAACACCATTCCATGTAACACCATTTCCATGTAACACCATTCCATGTAACACCATTCCATGTAACACCATTCCATGTAACACCATTCCATGTAACACCATTCCATGTAACACCATTCCATGTAACACCATTCCATGTAACACCATTCCATGTAACACCATTCCATGTAACACCATTCCATGTAACACCATTCCATGTAACACCATTCCATGTAACACCATTCCATGTAACACCATTCCATGTAACACCATTCCATGTAACACCATTCCATGTAACACCATTCCATGTAACACCATTCCATGTAACACCATTCCATGTAACACCATTCCATGTAACACATTCCATTACACCATTTTCCATGTAACACCATTCCATGTAACACCATTCCATGTAACACCATTCCATGTAACACTATTCCATGTTAACACCATTCCATGTAACACCATTCCATGTAACACCATTCCATGTAACACCATTCCATGTAACACCATTCCATGTAACACCATTCCATGTAACACCATTCCATGTAACACCATTCATGTAACACCATTTCAATGTAACAACATTCCATGTAACACCATTCCATGTAACACCATTCCATGTAACACCATTCCATGTAACACCATTCCATGTAACACCATTCCATGTAACACCATTCCATGTAACACCATTCCATGTAACACCATTTCCATGTAACACCATTCCATGTAACACCATTCCATCGTAACACCATTCCATGTAACACCATTCCAGTAAACACCATTCCATGTAACACCATTCCATGTAACACCATTCCAGGTAACACCATTCCATGTAACACCATTCCATGTAACATCCATTCCATGTAACACCATTCCATGTAACACCATTCCATGTAACACCATTCCATGTAACACCATTCCATGTAACACCATTCCATGTAACACCATTCCATGTACACACCATTCCATGTAACACAATTCCATGTAAACACCATTCCATGTACACCATTCCATGTAACACCATCCATGTAACACCATTCCATGTAACACCATTCCATGTAACACCATTCCATGTAACACCATTCCATGTAACACCATTCCATGTAACACCATTCCATGTAACACCATTCCATGTAACACCATTCCACTGTAACACCATTCCATGTAACACCATTCCATGTAACACCATTCCATGTAACACCATTCCATGTAACACCATTCCATGTAACACCATTCCATGTAACACCCATTCCATGTAACACCATTCCATGTAACACCATTCCATGTAACACCATTCCATGTAACACCATTCCATGTAACACCATTCCATGTAACACCATTCCATGTAACACCATTCCATGTAACACCATTCCATGTAACACCATTCCATGTAACACCATTCCATGTAACACCATTCCATGTAACACCATTCCATGTAACACCATTCCATGTAACACCATTCCATGTAACACCATTCCATGTAACACCATTCCATGTAACACCATTCCATGTAACACCATTCCATGTAACACCATTCCATGTAACACCATTCCATGTAACACCATTCCATGTAACACCATTCCATGTAACACCAT